TATATATATGTATGTATTTACTGATGGGTACACAGATATTCTTTATAGCCTTTTGTTGTTATTTTCAGATATTCACGTATTTTATTTTAAAATGTAAAATATCTAGATAGCATGATTGTAATTTTATTATTTTCCAAATTCCAAGCCATTATATATTTACAAGTTTTTCCATTTTCATATTTCCTTGTTATAAAATCTAAGGAAAATGCATTAAAAAAACACATAGAAGTTTCATATACTTTTTCAAATGTAAACAATCTAGAATAAGTGGAGTCCTGTGCAATATTCAGGAATATTCTCTGTAATGTTGCTGAAAGGTTGTCCAGTGCAATGGATTAGCTCCACTGAACACTCAGCCCCACAATCAAAGAGGTAATTACTATGAAAGCTGAATGTATCCTTATAGATGTTTTATCCACATTTTACATACATGTGAAAACAGGTAACTATTTGTTGTTTATATGTAATAATAAAATTATTTTGCAATATACTTTTTTCTTTTTGCAATGTATCACTGTCATTTTCTGTCTAAACACTGAGATCCAAGTCATTATTCTTCATGGGTATATAATCTAACACAGCAAGGCTATAATAGATTATAAATAGTGCTATATTAATATATAGCATAGGCATTAAAATTTTGTTTGCTTTTAATAATCTGATTTAATAAATAATTGTCAGTGTAACATTTGGTTTAGAACTCAATTAGATCAGACATAAGAGGTTTAACTCCTATAATCTGATCTAAAGTTCTGGGGTAATTTGGATATATGATGGTCCACCAAAAAGTGAGTCAGATGTAATTTATCATAGTACCCAAAGCCTTGAAATAGGAATTTTTTTAAGATGCCAAAATAATTCAATAAGAACAGCAATTTCACACTTGTGAATGCCACAAGATTTTAAAGGTGCATTATTAGACATGGACCAAATTTTTCCAGCTTTTAGCACCAAATACACTGTGATTCAGTCTCTTGAAATGCATAAATAAGTTCAACACTTTCCTCATTACGGCCTTCCATTCTATCTCTCCACTCTAAAATGTTACTCTTCTTTCAAGCCTGAACAGCTACAGAAGCTTCCCTCAGTCTCCCTCTGGTTCATCTGTCAACGTTTTAAGCAACCTCTGGGTTTAGTACCCTTTAGGCACTTACATAATGGGTTATATTTATTTATTTGTGGTGTGTGTGTATAGCTGCTTATGTTTATGTATATTTGTATAGGATTGGAAAACTTCATGGCTTATTCAACTTTATTTCTCCTATCCAACCCAATCATAGAGTGGGCACTAAATAATATTTGGGGAATGCATCTTTTTTTTTTTGAGAAAAAGATTTTAAATAAATACATCAATGACACACTATTTTTACTGGCTAACATAGTAAATGTTAACAAAAGTTATGTCTCCTACTCTATTGATGTATAATTTGGCAATGGACTCTAAAATTTTAAATATGTAGATACTTGATGTGATAAGGAGGCAGCTTCCTTGCCTCCTTTAAAGGGACGGTCTTTTTTTAAAGGGTTCAACTTCAGGAAATAAACATAAATATTTCTAAAACTTTAGAGTTAGTGATCTCAGATGCAATACCATTTATAAAAAAAGAAAACTGGAATTAACTTCACTATTTATCAATAACTAATTATGACATATAAAAATGGAATCTCATGTAGTCAATACAAACATAAAAACATCTTATCACATGGGAAAATGTTCCCCACTGCATAAAAGATAACCTCTCTACAGTAATGAATCCAAGTGAAAATATAGTAAGTCAATTTTATATAAAAAAAATAGAGAAGTGAGACTGATAGCCAATGTGGTAAGAGAATTTTCTCTGGGCAATGAATTTACAAATGGTCTTTCTTTTATTTTTTTGTCCTGTGAGAATCTGTGGAAAGCCACTTTGCTTTCCACAGATAAAATATGCTACACATATTTATGGAGCAAGTGAGTGAGTGGTCTATATTATCGTTCCTTTTTGATATTGCCTTTCTTTAGCCAAATAAGAATCTACTTATATATATTGACAACTTTCTTTTTTTACCCTAGAAAATGGAGTAAGATGTAGTTTCATTCTGAACATTTCCCTATAAAGTCCAGAGAATATCGATGCTTTAAGGAATAGGAACGCTAAAGATTTCCTGCTGTTCTGGGTAGCATATAACTGTTCACATCTGAATGTCTGAAGTTAGTTAAGCAGATGAATTATAAGTACATTGTAAAATCATGAAGATAAACTGATCAGTTCTCCTATTCTTATTTTGTTATCTTCAGGCAAGACTTTAAATGTCTTTTAATGTCTGTTCTTAGTTTTTCATATAAAATGACCCAAGAATTTGCACTAGTATTTGAATGTCCAATCTGAGATTAAGTCACTAAGTGCAGAATCCCATCAATGGTAACACAGTAAAAGAATTTTAAATGCTCTGATAGAAAGAAAGTAACTACAATGACATGCTAGAACTATTTCTAAAGATATTAATTTGGATCAATAAAGAGATACTAGTAATATCTATGTAGCAAGTACAGACATTTCTTTGACATAGGCCTATAGGTACCCATATTTATTCTGAACAATTTCATATTTTTCATATTTATACAAAGTGCTTCTCCTTAGAAGCTTAGCGATTTTTGACATATAACCCACGTGGAAGCAAAGGTTTTAAATCTCCAGTCATATTTGTTTATACAAACATTTCTTTTTTTAATGTTCTTTCCTCAAATTTTTTTTAAGATTTATTTTATTTGTGCATACAGAACTGGGGTACAGGCCAGAGGTGCAGGGGCAGTGAGAGGATTCACCAGAGGCAGAGCAGTGAGCAGAACAGGCAGATCAACGAAGTACACTGCTGAGGGGAGCAGTGGGTGGGTCAGGAGAGGTCTGTTCCACCATGTGGGTCACCTCCCTGACCTGGATCAAACTAGTGCTGAAGTGGCTGCAATGAGCTTCACAGTGCGCCACCAGGGAGGGCCCTATACAACCATTTCTACAATGTATTGGGATTACAAACTGTCTGCTTTCTAAAGTCAACTATGTAGAACATGATTTAGTGCAACTGCTTATGTCCTGTCGCCATCATGAATCCCTAATGATGCAGGTTTCTTGTCTCTTTTCAGATTCCTTATCCAGTCCCACACAGCTCTCCCTGCCTCTTTTTTGTGCTTAGATCATCTGACACTGTATGCTGTCATTCCAATAGGCTCCCTTTTAAAAATTAAAGCCAAATGGGAAGGAAGATGGAGTCCATACTTTGAAACTTGAAACTGAAAAATCCTCGTGGATTACTCTACTTTTGAACAACAATCAAGTCACTGAAGTAGAGGATTAGTTGCAGAAAACTTGCCCGAGTGAAACATGCTTTATTAAAAATGAACAACAAAATAATCCCAAAGGTACCAAGCAAAATTGTGGTGTGTTCTGGGGTAGGAACTAGATCTGAAGCTACAGCCACACACACAAATCTGCACACACTTTTGAGCCTTGCTTACATGCTGAAGCACTGAGCACTTCACAAGAATGCTGTGATCATACTAGTATCTTCACTTTATAGCCAGGGATTAGGAGTTTGAGAGGTTATCTGATCAATAGGGGAGAGCTAGAATTTGAACCCTTGGTGAATTTAACATAATCACTTTGATGCATTGCTTCCTTATGGTTCAATAAACTCTATGAAGACAGAGGGCCTTTGTTACAATTTCTCTTTGTTTTCTTGAGGTTTATAAAAAAATTGCTATGTTTCGGTTTTAACAAAGTCCTATGACTTGTAGCTTTAAATTCTTCCAGTTGGTTATCTTAGCAAAGATGGTTTTCTAGGGAGTGATGGCTGGAATTTTTTGGGAAGCAGAACTCTCTTATGGGTTTGGGAGAAAATCCAGGCAACTGATAGTTGAGTTCAACTGAAATATTGAAGCCAACTGACAAACTACTTTAGATTCTTTATTATTTCTGTTCTATTTTGAAAAATGGTGTACCTCTATCTTTAATAAACCTATTTGTAAAAATTGATAACCAATATAAAATGATGGTATGATAGTATTTTAAAAGAACTGACCCTAGACATAACCTTTAATTTTGCTTTTTCATTTCTTACTACAAAACCTGAGGTTACTATTTGCCCTTGATTTCTTCAAGACTACATTGTTTCAGCACTGGCAGGAAAACAGTTAACTATTGGTGAAATATTTCATATTCTTGTATGTACGACCACACACACATATGTATATGTATATACACACATGCAGATATATACACACATGTATATATACATGCACACATATATACATGTGTATATGTGTATGTGTATATGTGTATGTGTGTGTGGGGGGGGTGTATATGTGTGTGTGTGTGTGTATGTATGTATATAAATATTTTGTACCCAAATATTCAACTTACCTCCAAATCCATCAGGCACATATGTTTTAAGAACAATATTGCAGAAAATTGTTGGCAGTGATAAAGGTTTATTTCCCTCATTTCTAAGAGAAATGTGTCGATAACCTGCTTGTAGACCATCCAGCGGGAGAATCCTCTGGCCAATTAGCTTGTTGTTGTCATCATACACTGCTATTCTCAGAACTGCAAGGTCAGGAAGTATCACCTTCAAACAGAGAAGGATATTTTCTATTGCTTTTTGTAACATAGTGCCCAAGAACCACAATTCTATGCTCCCTTAAATACTCTGTTATGGTGAAATAAACCTATAATCAATTTGCATTCCTCAAAGTATACTGTACAAGCTACCAAGTTCATGCTACTGAAAAAGGCAATTGTAACAGATTTTCTGGAAATTATCCCATTAAAATTTTTAAGTGGAATGGATGTGAAGGTCAGAAAGGTTACTAGTACTAGCCCAATGTGTGTCATCTTTTCCCAATAGGAGACCCCGAGAGAGAACGTGACTTTCTTTAACCTCAGAAATAGTCAATGGCAACTGCTTCTGGGAATTGGGCTGGTGACTTCTAATCCTCTGGTTTCTTTACTGACTGGGCTGGTTCTGACATTTGGCTTGTCTCTTGTTCAGAATATCTAATAAGAAATAGTTCATGTCTAAAAGAAAATGCATACATAAATTTGGACTCTCCGTTTTTCTTGTACTCTTCTGTTCTTTCCATTTTGGGGGGTATTTAATAGAGCAAAATGGGGCAGCCACAAACATTAACACACACCCAAGACATCTCTGCTTGCATCCTCAAGTTAAATAACAGACACAAAGTCTGAGCTTGGAGAGCAGAATCCAGATATAAAATAGCATTATTACTAAAAAGAAAATTTCAATGTTTTTAATCAGGAATGACATTTCATTGGTTGAGAACCATCTCGGCTGATGTTGAGTACTGTGGCTAAAGGTAGCCATGAATTGGTTGCCTATTTATGGCTGGTGGTTATAATTTAAACTCCGACTGCATTAAAATGAAGAGGGAAAATCAAGCTAAATTCACCAACTTCAGTTGCTGTTGTTCATGGGGTAAACAGAGTGGTTCATTTTGTGAGATCAGTGCAAAGAACAAAAACAAACAATAACAAAGAAAACAAAACATTGATCTCAAAGAAAGGCGATTTAACTGCAGAAAAAGAGAAGAATTTGCCATCTTGTTTCTAACCAGAAACATATGAAAACTGATCTTGATGGGTCTTTTCTTATCAAAAACAAAGAACTCCTGCAGTTAATGTTCTGAATTTCTAGAATTGTGTGTAGGAATTATTCATTCTGCCAAGGAACACTGACCATGCTGATAACAGATTCATATAACAAACTGGAAAAATCAGGGGAGGAAAGAAAAAGACAAATTACAGCTGTGCATGCAATTTATGCCATACTCTGATGCCAGTGCAGGGAGTGACAACCGGGGACTGCTTGGATCACGCAGTACTAAAGTTCACCTCACAGGGTGAGCCTCATTTTCACAATGTCCTGGTTTATCACATCTACGCTGATCTCCCATAACCTGGTTTCTATAAATCAGGTAGCCTATTCTAAAGTGGACAATTCCCATTTTTAAAAACATATTACATAGAATAGACACCTACTATCTGTTACATGACATGTAAGTGGGGCAGAAACATTGGAGATTTATGCTTAAGGAAACAGCAACTATTTTGGTTAAGAGAGCACAACAGAGAGAGAACGCATTGTCAGAAGCTTCACTGCCAGCACATGACTTTTTCCAGACATCTTTGATTAAGAAAATAGAACTAAGGGAATCTGAAGGTAGCAATAGATGCCACCCCTTCTGGAGACCCTGGAACACTGTCATCTGGTACACTTCAATGTTTACTGGCATCCCACATCCCTTCATGGTTTCTGGAATAGTGCAAGTTATGAGCCACCACCAGGACAAAGAATTTGCCAGTGTATGATGGTATCAACTAGTGAGGACACATTCTAGATGACAAACCTAGAGTTTGGACGTTGTCACATTTAGGAAGAGAGTCAAAATAAAGATGGGGGGAAACAGAAACAATCATATGACAGCTACAGCACCTTTCCACTAGAGAAGGGAAAAGAAAACATTGGGGCTGAATAACTGTTACTATATCATGGAGTACCTAGGCATTACAACGGGGTTCCCTAGATAGCAGAGTAAATCGGACACACTGAAAATAACTTACCTTCCGAAACACAAATGATTCTTCATTGTAGACTGGATTGAGGCCATTGTTCATCACCATGCGTGTGCGGAATTCCTTGCGGATAGTGTCGGTGGGCAGCCCATACATATCCACTTCCACGTATGTGCCGATTTTCTTGTCGGATAAGAACTGGCCTGATATGACCTGCAGCAACACAGAAACAGGATGAGAGAGAAGTCTGCCCCTAAATCCTCTGTGCTCTTATTTATCCCTCCCTTCACAAAGCCACTGTCAACCACTGATTTCTTACTGTCTTTATATTTTTCTTTTTCAAAATGTCATACAGCTGAAGTCATTTAGTATGTTGCCTTCTCTCTTGCTTCCTTCCTCTGTAGTATGCATTTAAATGTCTTCCGTTTTTTTCATGACAACTAGCTCATTTTTTTAAGTGCTAACTAATAGCCAATTGGCTGGATAGACCACATTTTATTTATCCATTCACCAAGTGAAGGACATCTCAGTGCATCCAAAGTTTGGTAATTACAAATAAAGCTGCTACATGGATACAAATATCCAAATTTGTGTGAACATAATTTTTCAGATCTTTTGGATAAATACTAAGGAATGCAACTGCTGGATTGTAGGACAAGAATGGGTTGAGTTTTGTAAGAAAGTGGCAAACTCTCTTCCAAAATGGTTGTGCCATTTGGCATTCTCAGCAATGACAAATCAGAGCTCTTATTGCTCCATATCCTCTAGAAGGTATTGTTTTTGATCTGGTGTCTTTCATTAAAAGTATCTAATAAATTGAGATGGGGGAAAAATGTGCAAAATGATGTAAAAATAAACTTTTGTAATAATTAAAAAAAAGTAATGAGTGAAAAAAAATCATAAAAATAAGGAAGAATTTTAAGTTCCAATTGAGAGTAGCACCTGGCAGTTGCAGCTTGATGTGAAATATTTTAATCGTGATTTCTTCAGGCTTTTCTAGCACCATCTGCACACATGTTGATACTACTCTGTCTAGTAGCAGGGCCTTACCTGTACTGAGCAAGTGGCTGCAATAACTCCATCAACTGGAGTTTCAGAGAAGGGATCAAATGTTCTATCAGGTCGTCTCATGAAATCTGGCTTGAGAAGGTACCTGTTAGACAAACACGTAGAAGAAGTTAGCTCTTGGCACCTTTTACAAAAACTAAAGTGGCTACTCTTTGAGACACTAAATACTGCCTTTCAGGCAGAGGATCCTCAGGGTTGAAGAGAATTTCTCTGCCCCAGATAGAATTCCAAAGAGCAGCAGCGTGGAAGGAACGATTTCCAGATTCTAGGCTCAGTAATATCTAGGACTTTCTGATACTATCATCTTTAACTTACCAGGCTCTTTGTGTCTTCAGATTCTTGCTTTTACATGCATAAAATAAAATGCACAGTAACAATGAAAAAACCCATTATATGAGATATGAGCTAGTTATCAAAATATGAATATGATATTCTTTTTATTATTTTAATAATGCACTGAATTATGATATAAAGCACATTAAATAATACCATAATTTTACAATACTGATAAACAGTTTTTAAGAGACCTGTAACAATAGTTTTTTTTTTTTTTTTTGATTTATTTATTTATTTGTGCATACAGAACTGGGGTACAGGCCAGAGGCTCAGGGGCGGTGAGAGGCTTCACCAGAGACAGAGTGGGAGCAGAACAGGCAGATTGACAAAGTACACTGCTGAGGGAAGCAGCGGGCGGGTCAGGAGAGGTCTGGCTCGCCATGTGGTCTCCTCCTGGGCAGGCGGCAGGCGGGAATCGAACTCATGCGGAAGTGGCTTCAGATTCTCAGTGCTGTGCTTTAACCCGCTGCGCCACCAGGGAGGGCCGTAACAATAGTTTTAAGTTCAAAAATAATTTATATGGTGACAGGGGTACAAGTATCAGTGACATGATTTTGGATTGTTGTCTATGTTCACAATCAAAAGACATGAGAAATTTCAGTGACAGACAAGTGAAAATAAACATGACTTTGTTTTCTCTGTCTAGCTAGAGTCATGATGCAAGAAAATGGAATCAAATGTATCCACACTGGAAGAAAGTAAATCTATTTCTATTTGCAGATCACATGATCTTGTATACAGGAAAGCCTAAGTAATACACTGAAAAACAATAAGAACTCACAAATGAATTCAACAAGGTTGCAGGAAATAGTAATACACAAAAATTATCTCTATACAATAGCAATGAAAAATACAAAAGTGAAACAAACACCCCATGTACGTTAGCACCAAAAAGAAAAAACACTGCAGAAAAAAAAAAAAGTAAATAAATGGATATATCTTAATACTGTAAAGCTTGGTGAAAGAAATTAACAAAGCTCTAAATAGATGTAAAGAACAATTTGTGTTCCTGGATCAGAACACTCCAATTCTTAAGACAGCACCATGTCCCAGAAATGATACAGAAATTCAATAATTCTAATTCAACTTCCAACTGCTTCCTTTTTAGAAATTAACAAGAATAGCCAAAAAACAAGTTAAAAGTGTAGAGCAAAATTGGCAGGTCATATTTCTCAATTTCAAAACTGTCTACAAAGAACAATAATCAGGACACTGTGGTACTGGTGTAAGGTTAGATATAAAAATGCTTGTGCTAGAATTGAGAGTGCAGAAAGAAACCCATATATCTATAGTCAACTGATTTTTGACAATGAGGCCAAATCACTCCCATTCCTTTGATTAATAAAGACACACTGGGGCTCTCCCTGGTGGCTCAACTCAGTGGGTTAAAGCGCAGGACTAAGAGGCTTGCCAAAGCCGTTTCAGCACGAGTTCCATCCCCGGCCAGGGAGCTGACCCACATGGTGCAGCAGACATCTCCTGTCTCACCCCTCAACAGTTATTTCAATAGATCTGCCTGCTCTGCTCCCCACTCTGTGGTAGGTGGGTCCTCTCACCCCCCACATGTCTGGCCTACACCCCACCTCTTGTATAAATAAATAAATCTTAAAAAAAAAAAAAAAGAATCAGAGGGTGGAGTCATAAGGGCATCCTATTTTACCACCACAAAAATGTGAGCAATTGTTCCATTCCACATTATTTTAATTACAAGCAAGAGATAAAAATGGCTGCTGATCGTAACTCTAAGATGCTGTGGATTTTAAGATAACTCTAATTTGAGAATGTTGTGTAAAATGCATGCCTCTTTGAATCATAAAATGTGCTGTTTAAATACTAACTAAATAATTTTCTATTAAAGCCTGAAAATATTTGAGAAAGTAATTTGCTCTATTTTGTTTCATTAGAAATTACGGACATGCCTTCTATTTTCCCATCTTTAAAAATGGATTTGTTATAAATTACCACTCATCTCCCTGGTAGAAATTACACTTCTGGGTCTAACAGTAAAATGGACCCCACAGAGTAGGTAAGGAAGTGCGGGGATTTATCAGACACTTACTGTTGCAAGATCAGAGGTGTCTGTGTGTTTTGCACACTGTAAAAAATAGCTAGCATTTGTCACTGCAGGCCTAGCATGCACAGAATACTTTAAAGAAAAAGAAATGCAGCCCGCAGAGACAGAAGAGCTTTAAAAGTCCCTGCAGGGAGCGTAAAGGGGCGGGGGGTGGTGTGGTGGATAATAATAATGAACAACTATATACCAGAGATATTTTATGGGGGTAGAGTGGGGAATGGGATCAAAAATGGGGGACTGGGGAAGTGCACTGGACTATGGTGATGGCACATGGGTGACTTGGTGATGGGAAGCCCACGGGGATTACAACTGAGATGGAAAAAGGGCACAAAATGATGTAAAAATAAACTATTACATTATTAAAATAATATAATAATAAAATGATGCTAAAAAATAAAATGAAACAAATTAAAAAAAAAGTCCCTGCAGAGGTTGGGGGGGTAGGGAGGTGGGGGTACCAGGGCAGTGCCTTGGGCACGCAGAAGCACATCCTGTGAGGCCAGTCCCTCACCAGACTCTTCCATCATGCGGGCACAGGGACACGGGGAAGCCTTCCTTAGCTTGAGGTTGGGTGTGGGGAAAGGGGGAGGACACAGAACCTCTTAGCATTGGGCTGCTCCACTAAACCATCACAATTCTGGAGTCTCTTGGGTGGGACTTAGAGTCACATCGCCTCCAACAGGGCAGTGACCTTACTTATGTGGCATTTTACCATAAACAATGACACAGAAAATGAGACACTGAACACGTCGTATCCAAAAGGAAATTCTTGATAGGAAATGTAGTGAAGGCATCCCACTCGTGTGGGGACCACATTTATCTGCAATCTATTCCCATCCCTGTGTCAGTATTTGCTGCAGAGGCCTGAGGTCAGGATGGGGAGGGCTTTCAGCCTCACTGGATTCCCAAGGGGGAACACAGCCAGGTCTGCCATGTTTGCAGTGAAGCACGTGGACTTCCTGGGCACTGTAAAAGCTCAATTTCAACAGAAAGCTCATTTAATCTTGCATGGTCTCTCTGTGTGGTCAATCATAAGGTCTTAAGCTTTTTCTCAAACCTCACTTTTGCACAGAGATTTGCAGATCAGGAAATACTTGCATATGCAATCACATTCACTCGCAGCCAGTTGTCACAACAAACCCCATGTGGCAGGCATTGTCCTTGTTTGATCAAGCAGAAAACTGAAGTCCAGAGTCTAACACAGCTGCTGAGAGCAGCACAGCTGGCATGCAGAGGGGCTGGGATTCAAACCTAGGGCTGCAGACTGGAGCCCCTGGCTTTTATCCAGAACCACAGTTGCTCACTGCTTCAGGGGGCCTCACTGCTTCAGCCACCACTGAGCGTCCACCCATCAACTCACATGCACAGTTGCCTGATTATGAACACTTTGCATTAAATAACAAAAGAGCTTAAAAAAAAATGAACTATATACTTATATACTTTGGCTTTCCCTTACTCTCCCACCCCCCAACTACCTGATATCTATGTCATTTAAAATGCCCAGCATAGAGAAATATGTGTAGGGAAGGTGATCAGGGCCGTATTCTAGGTGTAGCTACACTGGCAAAGAACCAGCTGGAAGACAGAAGAGGGGAGTGTGGACTTTGAACCCATGACTATCGAAAAATTTTACCTTTACTGGCAAAATTTAGATCTGCTATCAGACAGGCCAAGGAATGCTCAATAGAAACACTGTGGGATGAGGTAGCACACACTACTTTGGGGTAGTACTTTGGGGTCACTTACCCTTGATACTATGTGGGGACAGATACATGAAGAAGAAAAAAAATAGCCACACAGTTTTTCTGTCTCTACAAAATTTTAACTTCATTTAACCTTTTAGAATTTGGGTGATTAATATTTCCCATTTTACTTCTTGGTTGAGATTTTAAAGAGTATTAAAAGTAAACTAGAACAACATTCATAGCATTATTTTTGATCACCGCTATTTATAAGACAGGCAAAGGAATTGAGAGGACAGAGCTTTTTTCCTAGCAGTAGCAAATTCAACATGACACCTATAACTGTATATTAAGTTCACTTCAGTGCTGTTTTTCCTAGGATAAATATGCATATTTAATGCCTATATCTCTGGCTGCTACTGAAACCTCCACTACTGAATTTAAAGTGGGAAGTCAACTCTAGAGTGTGCAGGAGAAACTGCTTGAGGTTAAAATTAAAAAAATCTGTTGGTATGATTGAGGTAGATGGAGAATGTATATTTGCAAATATAATCTATCTAGGGATTTCATTTGTTTCCATCCCATCCCTCAAATCCAGCTTAAATTCAGCAGGCCCTAATTAAAAATGACACCATTTCATTATAGCTGGAGTATGTAGTTCTGGAACACAGTGACAACAGTTTAAATCACATTACTCACCCGCACGATCCATTATACTCAAATTTCCCCTGATTCAATTGCATCGCTAAATCTGTCAAGAGACAAAAATAATTTAGTATCTTGTTCCTTGGATGAAACTCATCCTGATGAAGTAATTTTATACAACGGAAATCATACTGCTCTTGAGCCAAAATGCCTTTCTGGAAACCACCAGGTACCTCTGGGTCTGTTCAAGACACAAAAGTCTCTATTGCACGTTAAAGTGACCTTGTATTTAATGTCTACATAAAATGTGTTTTCATAAAGAGCATGCCTGAATTTCTTTGTACAATAATTCAATATATGAATCATACAATTCTTCAATTTGTGTTGCAAGGGCAGGCATCAACTCTGATATTTGGAAAGAATGTACTACAGCACTCTGGAGGAAAACCATGTTGGTAGATATCCAGTAGGGTCAAGGGAATATAAAACCCAATTAAAAAACAAACAAACAAACAAAACTACATAGGTGAGTGAGTAGCCTCTAAAATTTGGTGGCTTGTCTCTACTTTTATAGTTAAGAGGAATCCTAGTCGGCTCTAAGCTGGCAGAGAATAGCTTATGAACATTCCCTTGCAGGTGGACAAAACTATTTTTTCATTAGCCAAAATATAAGTGAACTGATGGGATTCTAAAATCTTCCTCTAATTTTCTGGTTAAACCTAGTATTATAGAATAAAACATAATTTGACCTAGTGAGTAGCTGCTTTAAGATCATTTAAACTATATAAGGGGCTTTGTGACAACTGAGAATATAATTTGACTTCTTTTTAAGTAAGCAGAGTCATAGTGCTGTTTTATTTTGTCTCTCTTAGAAATGATCTGGGATTTTGCCAGCACCAGGTGATAGTTTATTATGGTAAGGATTTTTGGGGATACTGTACAGAGATTTGACTCCAAAGATCACTGAGGATGCTCCAACAGGTGGAGAGACTGGTGGTGATAGAGTCAGCTCATCTTCACACCAACAGGATAAAACTCAAAGTGCCTTTCTCAGTCGTTTCCATCACAGAAAGGTAGACAAGATTCTCAGTGACTGGTAGATGCACTAGAAAAGGAAATGTTCCTAATCTACACAGCAAAGAACCGAACAAGAAAACAATTTCAGTGTTTGGTTTTACCCATTTTAAGGACCACGATGGGGAATTAAGCACGGAATGTGAATAAACTTGTGGCCTTTATAAAAATGTCCTGTCTCTTCCCAATGGGGAAGATCATTTATGTTAGAAATCTGTCTTTCAGTACACTTTGGTGGATCACATTATAGATTAGTATTGTTTAAAATTATGTAAGTCCTTAAGCACCACATTAGCAAAGTCTACTCCAAAATACAGGGTCATTTCTTGTTACCTGCTGAGTATCTTTGGGAAGGATACTTTCTAAAGGAGAAAAGAATCTTAGACATACTATGTAAAGATATTCGCATTCTTCTCAGTGTGTCTCTGGAAATGAGATAAGTTTGATCCAAAAATAAGAAAACTTTGGGGCCTCCCTGGTAGCGCAGGGGTTAAAGTCTCAGCACTATCAATCTAGCCAGCCACTGAGGCAAGGGTTCTATCCCCCACAAGAGTTCCTTCCCAGGCCAGGAATGAACCCACATGGCCCAGCAGACCTCTCCTGCCTCTCCCACCCACTGCTCCCTTCACCAGTGTATTTTAGTCAATCAGCCTTTTCTGCTCCCCATTCTGTGTCTGGTGATTACTCTCACTCCCTGCACTTTGGGTCTGCATAGGAGGTGTATGTACTTTGTACACATAACTAAAAACAAATTTTAAAAAGAAAGAAATATTTTGTAAAAAGGGGCGCAAATGCTTAACAGAGTAGTCATGGCATTTATGAAAGAAAATGAATTTTAAACACAAATATTATGTTTTACCATTGTTCTATGGCTCTGTTTTGGGTTTTTAATCGCTCACCATTATATAAATCCAACAACACATTGCTTTGCCATATGTCTGATTCCTTTAAAAATGCCCACTGCCAACTGAGGGCAACTTCTGGCACCATCCTGCCAATGCTTCCTCATGGAATTTGAGGTCACTGGGCATCACCTCCTACCTGGGGTTTGATAGTTCAGTGAAACCATCTGGCAGCCAGCGTTCCAGAAAATCTGAGGCATGTAATTACTGGAATCAACTCGGCCTCCCTTGGGGTAAATTCGACTCATTTGTCGTTTGTTATAACTGTGTAATTTATTAAGGAAAATGGGAAAAAGAGTATCCTGGCAATAATAAACAACAAAGGTCTAGTTCAACAATGACAAACAAGTAGACAACAAAGAGCAGATTACCGCATTTACAAATGATGGTGAAGAGAAAAATCTCATCTCACTGTGTACGTTTTAAATATAATTCATATTTGGACTGATTTTCACAGCTGTTGTGGCTTTTCACACATATTATTAATTCTACAATCACAATCATGTATTAACTATTTCTCTATTTCAGAGTCTTCTGTCTAGTGCACCAACTACTCCCTTCTAATAAACACATAAGGATACTTCACAAATTCAATGGCGTGTGTCTTCAAGTAGCCTAGACCCACCGACTCATTAAAAGAAGACATGTTATAATGAATGTTTCGATCTGTAAAGAAAAACAAAGTTGCACTCAGATACCCTGTCATCAAACCTTCAAAGAAAGACAATAAATATAATTACATTCTGAACCACAAGACTTTGGCAGCAGATGTTACATTATTACATTGGTAGGCCATACTTCCATTAATGACGGACAGATGGAGACAGATGACTTGAAAACAATGTGATGAATTAAATTCAGAGTCATTAAATGAGTGATGTGTATGTACACCAACTGCCACTTGCAGTCAGCTCGGAAATATATAGGGATGATGATGGTGGTGGAGATGATGGTGGTGACAGCTTTCCAAGGAAGCTCATGAATGATTATGAAAAGTTTTAAAACACTTTTTTTCCTTCTGTTTATTTGAAGACCAGCTTTTGATGAAAAGAGAGGTTCATGAGGTATATCTAACTCAAGAAATTACACTCCTGTATAATAAAGCGAGGTCTCCAATAAATCTGCAGTCTCTCAGAGCCACCCTGTGGATAATGCTGGGAATGACAACACAAAGTGTGTGGTTAGGGAAACAAAAAATGAAGTGAGGTGATGCAGTCCCAGTGCCCAGAGGAAGAAAAAAACAAAAAACAAAAAATCAAAACAACAACAACAAAAAAAACCCCAAGTCAGGTCAGAGCTCATCGGTATCATAAAAGAAAAGCAGACAAAAGATGATAGCATATAACACTTGGTGTTACCTTCAGCCACATGGAAACCTTGAAACTTTACAGGCTGTGCGTAGTTGATCATTGTGGACAAATATGGGTGGATATTAGTGGTGGCACCTACATATTTATAAGATGCCATCCATGCCTGCTCATCTTCTACAGTAACCAACCCCTGCAAGCACAAGGAAGGGAAAATGCATGTCAGTGACTTCAGTGGGTTTCACAGATAAAAGCCATGGACTGCCTCACTCAGGATGAGCTGCACCCACAAATGGAAAGGTAAAAGCTTTTTTCTTTCTCAGTGGATAAAGGATAACTGTAAAGGTTACTGTTTTCCATACCTCCAAATAGTACAAAAGGAACAAGATGTAAACTCATAACTTTGGGTAATCTTATAGATTTTCAAGAACTTTAAGGTAATAAACTATGATTGAGATTCAGAGCAAGGCTATGAACTATGTTATAGCCAGTAATATTCGTATTTTCACAAATGAAGGTGCAAAACAAACAAACAAACAAACAAAAAAACAAAAACTTGAGCATACATCAGATTCCTAAAGGGAACACTTACTAAACACTCAGTTTCTAATGAAGTAAGACTGTGATGAAAATCAAGAATTTGCATTTCCAACTACTGGCCAGATGCTAATGATTTGCCTTGTTTGGGACTATATTTTGCTTAACACTGCTCTAGAATTTAAGCCACATACAGAGGCAGTGTGTGTGTGTGTGTGTGTGTGTGTGTTTAAGAAACACTTATTCTTAAATAATCCCTACATAAGACATACTGAAAATGAATTATTTCACCTACAGGAGAAAAGATAAATTAATTCATTTCTTGATCAATCTGAACACAATCAACAAAATCAACACCAAAAATAATGCCTTCAAGGGTGATGGACATTTTGTTCAGAACTTTGGAAAGCTACGTTTTCTGCACTGCTTAGCCACACAAATCAAGTTGCTCATTTAAAAAAAATGGTCAGACTGTCTTGGCCGGTGATTTTACAATTTGAGCATTCTAAATCATCACCCTGCTGTGACTAATAAATTGTCTCACTGCTATGAGACAATTACTCAACATAGTTTGGAGTTTTTTAAAATCCGCTTTTCATATGTCCTTACCTGCCGCCTAAGGACAGGGGGTCATTTGGTCCCTCTCTTGAGGAATAGCAGTACCATGTACAGGTACTGAGGTTGCCAGGAGAGTGGGTGCTCATGGTTCCGGGTGTGTACGCGGGTTGAGGAGTAACAGCCACCACACCAAACGTGATAGCAAACAGGTGTGGATTTATCGAAGCAAGAGGAAAGTACTGGCAGCAGCAGGAGGTGCAAGGGAGGGTGCCCATTTACTCCAGCTCTGTCCATGACAATAGACTATCAGACTCTGCTGCCCAATGTGCCACATTGTCGATTAGGCACCAGGTGGCCAGGGAGTTTCGTAGTGGTAGTTCTGTTCCCTAATTATCCTGTAACTGGATCTTAGTGTAGGTGGTGGTTGGCTCAGCAACCTTTCAGCAAAACCCTACTATTTTTCTGGGAGCTGTTTTGTTCCTCCTGTTCCTATACGGCTCAAAATCACTGTACCGTGTGAATTTTCCAGTTGCCCCACCCTGCTGGTCTCAGTTCCTCTCAGGCTGACCTCTTAAATATACAACCTCATTAGCGTCAGTAATCATATGTGGAAAAGACTGGAGTCTGACCCACTAGCACAAGAGAAGGCTGAGGCCTTGAGGAATAAAACCACCCAGTCTCATCTACTTAGCTAATAGCAGGGACCAAATGTAAACACTTTTTTGTGACCTAAACCACATGAAATTCCAGAACAAGATAATTTAACACACATTTTATGAGTAAGAGGACATGAGACTTATCCTTAATTATTCCAAAATTAATAATCAGGCAGAAAGAACATATGACCTCACTGCAAATACGATTGTCCCCTACAGAGAGTAAGAAGATATTTTCTGAAGCTCTGAAATATGGGCATCAACTTATAAGGCAAATTCTGCTTGTGACTGCTATCTGTCTCATGACAGTAATAAACCATATACTGTACTGAATAAGACCACTTTGATATCATGAGTAATTTTGACAGGATAAAAGAATCTAAAGATGTAAATTACATTAAATAAAAATTCTAGAAGGTGCACAGAGTGAAATATTACTCTGATATTTCTGCATATCAGAGTAATCAGAACCAAGATCACCTTTTCATTTTGCTGGAGTACAGGGATTTTCTGACCTGGTAGGTCATTCTTATTTTTAATTCTACGTATTGATGATTATGTGTGCTCCTTTTCTATTAATAAGATCTAATTCTAAGTAAGAAAATGCCCAGTTGTTCTAAGTAACTTTTTTTTAGGAAAATCTTGTTAGTTTCTGGTTTATTTACTACTAACATTGCTTAATGATTTTATCATTTTACTGCTATGATAGATTCTTTCTTATGAATTCTTGCTTATAATCAGGTGTCTCAAATATATAACTATAACTATACGCAGTGAACCTGCAATCCCATGGGGTTGGGGGTAGAGTGACAGCCCTGAGTACTGTCACTATGACAGTAGTCACTATGACAGCACGTTCACTATGTGGTGTGTCACGATGAAAACAACTCATGAGGGAATTACTTATTACCTTGTTGTTGTTTTCATGTTCAAGGTCACCTGAAGTCTAATTCAGAAAAAAAAAATAGTAATTTATTGTCTTCTCTAAAGGGCAAGATTCTAAATTTATTATCCAGTCCTATGTAAGAAATCAAGTAAACATATCAGCTTAGTGTTCTCTTTATTTGTTAAGATGGGAAAATTGGACTCTTCCTGGTGGCATAATGGGCAAGGATGCAGCACTGCAAGGTAGCAGCAGCTACTTCAGTGTGAGTTCGATCCCCAGTCCCGGAGGTCACCCACATGGAACAGCAGACCTCTCCTGACCCGCTTGCTGCTCCCCTCAGCAGTGTACTTTGTCGATCTGCCTGTTCTCCTCCCCAATCTGTCTCCGCAGAATCCTCTCACTGCCCTTGTACTTCTGGCTTGTACCCCAGTTCTGTATGCATAAATAAATAAATCTTTAATAAAATGGGAAAATTATTTGACATAAGTCATGGACAAAAACAAGTATAGAAGGGTCTGATGGCCTAACTGCTGTATACATCAGAAATGCCAATCTTAGCACCTCCTTGGTGACAGTTTCTCCTCAATTAGATGCTGCCTTTAGTGATTTAATTAGTGAGTGGGTCATGGGCCTTGGGAAATAATGTGTGGAAAGGACAATAAGCATGAATAGTCACTCTTCAGTGAGTCAATACACATGTTACTTCCCACATTCCATCCATCAGTAAGTTGAATCACTTTTGCTTCCTTAATATCTTTTTTTTTTTGGTACATTATAAAAGGAGAGGTTTATTAGGAAAAGGAAATGGAAAAACAGAGGCACCTGCATACATACAGGTGGGCAGAAAGCTGCTCACTGCCAGAGCATCTTTACCCAACTCTGTCCTGTTCCTACCACCTAACTTAGGCAGGGGTGGCATGGTGCAGCAGCCTATCCTAGTTATTTTTTCCTGTATCTCCTCTTGCTTCCTTCGAAACTTGTTTCTGTATGCTAACTATAGCAATCTGTAAAAACCCAGACTCACTTTGCTCCCTTCCTTAGAATATTTCAATTCACTTAAATTAACATTTGCATTTCTTGTAGTGACCTGAAAACCTGGCATCTCGTAGTTCCCACCTTCCTGTCCAACCTCACCTGTGCCACCACCCCTCAGCCAGTGCCCTCTTCACACCGTCTTCCTACTTACTGCTGCCTTCCTCTGCAGGGAGTTACACCTCCATTTGACCCTCTGGGTTCTGGTTTCCTTTTCCCCTCCACCACACCATTCTCTACTTTAGTTTCCTTTTTCACTTTCATGAGCACACTTGTTGTACATTGTAATTATGCAATTATTTGCTTATTGTCTGTCTCCTCCTTACCCACTGACTCTCATTGGGTCAACAGCTTCTTGAGAGCAAGAAGCATGTGTGTTTTGATCCTAGACTGTGTCGGGCATATAGTCTCTACACAGTAACTATTTTTATTGACCAAATGGTTAGATGGATCCTCTATTATATTAGGAGGGAGAAGATCTAACTGGGAGGATGAAATTTCTAATGGTTTCAACAGGCTAAGCTCTGTTACTGATGCTGCTGTCGTCACACCACTCAATTCTAGTAAAGCAATAAATGATAGTACTTCAAGGACACTGGAAAGCTGACCCATATGGGCGTGATGAACGACTCATTTAAAAGCCCTTTCTGACTTGATGAAATGTCTCAGATCTGGATCGTGGTCAGCCAATTTCGAAGGGAAATTATAGGTTATTTAATTCTCTTGCAGCATGACATTTCTAAAGTTTTCTAACAGCTGCTACCTCTGGAGAGTCATGAAGAGAAAGGAACACTAAGATGCTGACCTTCTTGACACTATTTGCCACGGCTTCCTTGTGACCCAAGTCATCAGCTGAAAGTTCATTTCCAAATTTGTATTCAGGGTGAGCTTCTTCCTCTTGGTCAGCTGTTGAAAGATGAAAAGAAACTCCATGAAATCAACTTATACCAAATAGTCAGACTTTTATAATCTTGGGTAGGTATACCATGCACACCTTTCGAGAAGAAGGAAGTTAAAAGAAAACAGAAACAGAGGTCCTCCCTGGTGGCACAATGGGTTAAAGCGCAGCACTATGAAGCTAGCTGCTACTAGTGGCAGCATGAGTTTGATCCCTGGCCAGGAAGCTGACCCACAAGGCACAGCTGCCTCACCAGCTGCTCCCCTCAGCAGTGTACTTTGTTAATCTGCCTGTTCTGCTCCCCACTGTCTGGTGATTCCTCTCACCTGCACACTGCTGGCATGTCCCCTAGTTCTTGTATGCATAAATAAATAAATCTTTAAAACAAACAAACAAAAAAAGAAAATTGAAACACAGATGCAAATTTCTTTTCTTTTTACAAATAATACTCTCAGTAACCTCTTAACTATTCAAGATCAAAGAGCATATCACACAATTGCCTACTTCCTCTGCATCCAGCATGATCTTTGACATGCTTGATGCTTAATATAATTTTCTCAAGGGAATGATTATTTGGATCCTAGCATAGTATCCCTAAAATGTAAAGTCTCAAATATTTAATCAAAAGGTGTTTTGATCTTCCATGAGACCTAAAGAAAATAAGAAGATAAAATAAAAGGAAAATACATTTAATACGTTTGAAAAAGAGACTAAATGTCTACTTGAATTGTGTGGGCCTAACGGCATGTGGCCTAGAGTGGTATGATATAAAAAATGGCTTCTGTGAGCCATTTGTCAGGTGTGTAAGATTCGGAAATCAGCCTTCAGGCTCAGGCTAGGCAGGGACCTGGAAATGCATGCTCATTAAGCTGGTGCCCAGGCTAGAGAAGAAGGCACAGAGGCCCGCTGTCCTTTGGTCCAAGAAAGTGGTGAAAGCTGTCGGTGTTTCCATGCAAGACTATTGGTGGAAAAAGGTTCACCAGTTGAAAATGAGCACAGCTAGGTGTGAGATCTGGTTTCCTGTGATTCCCAATTGGCAGGAAATTCCAGGTCAGGAATCTGTCTAAGAACTAGTCAAAATCAAGACAACTCATAGTGATCAGACAGCCAAGGCCAAAACAAATCCACATTCTCACAATGCAAGACAGGAAGACATATAATGTAAAAAAAAAAAAAAAAAAGACTATGAAATGGCATTTGAGCATACATTTGAATTTCTACTTACAAGGAAGATGTATAGTTCCATAACAATTGGAAATATTTAAAAAAATGTTTAAAATGTGCAAAGGAGAACACATGGACTGAAGTAAATGAAAAATGATTTCACTGATTCCAAGGTGTAATATTTTTCACATTTCAATAATTCTGATGTTGTAATCTTTCAATCAACAGCATTTTATAATTAACTGGAAGCATTTTTCTTTCTTAGTATGATAAAATAGGGGTGTCATTCAATTGATGATTTCTGAGATTCAAACTTTCTTGAGGGGCTACTCTCTGTAAGATGCTGGTCCATTATGGGGAGAAGGTGAGGCCAGAGAAACAGACCCTCAATTTTTGGAAATGATATACCGATAAAGGGATATTCTGGAAGCTGAGGATTTAAAAAAAAAAAGTCATATAGGTTTTGGCTAGGAGAAAAAGGATCAGGAGCTGGAACGGGTCTTGAAATAATGTCCTCCAATGTCCTCAATTTGTAGTTGAGGAGATAGAGTTAGAGATAAGTTTAATAAGTGTGTACTCATAGAGTCAGACATGAAACTAGATTCTTCCAGAACTTTAGCACAACAACCTTAACATGACAACGGGTTTTCATCACCTACAGTCTGTAACCAAAAGTTTGAAACTTCCTGCCATCACTGTTAAATTACAATTCCTTTATTTCTTGTCTATGCTATCCAGCTAGATGTAAATTACTTGAAGTCAATGAATGTGTCCCAGCCAGGTACAGATAATAAAAAAAATCTTTAAAGTGTTCTCTGGGTGAATGCCACCATATTTTGAGTGTACAGGTGTGCACAGAGGTACCCTCATCCACATATGATTTTGCTATTTCCCATTGCTCCTCTGAATCTAAATCTTGTCTAATGCCTCCATGTTTTCTCATGGAGAGCCTTTTCTATTATCTACAGCCTGCAGTCCCCTCTTGCCTCGTGTCCTGAAGTATTTAAATTAGAGACTTTAGTCATTCATATTTAATAGGATCATACTGTGTTGCCACAAAGTTACAACCAACTGTTTGACCAGAACTAAATCCAAGTATTACTGCGGAAATCTAAAAGTCATATATAGATGTATCTGATGTAGTAGAGCTTCTATGCCCTTAAGGAGAGATTCTGGTAGATGATTCTGTCCTCTTAGCTACATTACTACTGTGTGTTCTCCCACATAATCATTTCCTCTAAAACTGAATTAAAACCGTGAGTATATTTTGGAATAACAGAACCACTAGAAGCAATATTTCTTTGTTTGTAGGCATAATTAACATACACATAAAAGGTGGGAAAGTACCTTTAAGAGTGATAAGTGAAATCATACTGAACCTCATTTTAGATTAATAAGTGTGCAGAGATTTCACACCTTTTACTTTCATTAGCTATAGTCTTTGCTTTAAAAAAATATTTTGACAACCATTTAGCATATTTCTTTTAAGTCCTGTATAGTAGAAGAGCACTAATTTGGACTTTGGCTATTCTGGGACAGAACTTGAGTGCAGCTGCTCACAGCTGTGAGATCCTGTGTGAAGTATGCTACCTTGTTAAGCTTCAGTGTTCTCACCTGAAAATGAGTGTAATCATACCTATTTTGCGGTTGTAGAAAGATTCCATGAGGCAGTAAATATGAACTGTTTGATCCACAGTTGACACAAGAATGTTAGTTGTTACCAAGTCTTGTAAGTTAATTTATTCATTATTCTGCAGCTTGTCTTAGCATCTAATAAAATCTTAGTTTGGATTTTCATCTAGGTAACCTAGCCTAAGCTAAATTGATTTTACGTATTTTACCTTTTCATGTTTTTATTTATCTTTTGAAACATGTCCATTTATGATTTTATCCTTAAATCTTATTTACATGATTTGCAAAACCAATAAAATATTAGGCATTGAGGAAGACTGCACTTTCCAAAGATAGCTGCGATAATAGCTGCCTTCCCACAGGCTCGCCCACAACATGATTTTGCCACTCATCTACCTCCTTGAACTTGGGGGGGGGTCCTATGGCTATTTTGATTAATAAAATATAGAGGAAGTGATGATATATCAATTGTAGGCATAGCTCTAAATAGTTTAGCAGCTTCTACGTTCCGCCCTACTAGGTCACGACTCTTGAGGTGTCTCATCAAGGAATTTGGCCACTATACTGGGAGAAGCTCTGACCACGTGGAGGTCGCACAAGGTTGCTCTGGTGGGGCACTAAACCCCCAGAAGACAGCCAGCAGCAGCTGGCAGCATGCAATGGAGTCAACCTGGACAACAGGTCTAATTTCCCGTAGGTGACACTAGGCACCTGGCAAGTACATGAGAAACTGAAGAACCACCAACCTGGAACAGGATGATCCACCCAACTAGGAGAGATAGCATCTTCCAAGTACCTGACTTTTGGGTGGTGTGTTACATAGTACTAGGTATCCACTGATAGAACTTTGTCCTCTGAAGCCCTACCAGTCATGTAAAATTTGTGAAAGTCATTATGACTTTTCTCTGGGAGTGGGGCTGAACCCACAGTTTGGACATGCAACATAAATTGTTGTTTATAAAGCCTGTCCTGCAGCCACTGGTCTTTCGTAGGGGATTGTGAATATGGTTATAGTTAAGTCCCTGAGCTTTTAGGTTTCTATATATAACACTACACTTTCCTAACATCTTCTCTTGTATTTTTAGATGTTTGTAAACAATGAAGTTTATGAGTATTTCTAAATTATCCAGTGAACAGACTATGAATTCAAGGTTCTGTCTACCCAACAGACACACAATGTAAGTTCAAGTCATTTCGTGAATCAATTCTCATGATACATATTAAGCAAATGATTTTCTAAAAATATCCCAAACCTTTCAAAGGACTCATTTAAATCCAAACATTATGGCTGTGGCTACACAGACAAAGGATAATGGAAGCTAATAATAGCCAGTATTCAAATATTTTAAATAAGATTGCCAATACTACAATTACCTACATAGGTAATTCTGGCGAGCTGGTTATTTGAAGCAGCTGCAACTTGAAATTTTAATACCGACTGAGTTTCCAGTTTACTTGTGACTGGTATGTGCAAAAAACACAATTACCTGAGCATCTCTACCCATTTTCTTTGCCTTGTAACTTGTCTCACTCTGATCATCACTAAAAACACTAATGTTCATTTTTATGCTCATAGAAAGTGATTGTAAAATGTTCCTTTTACTCTAATCCCTCCCTTTAATAAAAAATGCTGCAAGGATTCTCTGGTTGTGACTTTTTGCTGAATAGCTGAATGTATTAACAACAGGAGATGATGCTGTTGCTGAATTCTAGTGCCTGGGTGAATTGGACGCAATATAGTAGTTGGAAATATAGCAAAAAGTACTAAAGATTAAAGTTGGTGATAGGCACATCTGTCTCTTAAGAAGCAAAATGACAGTCGCCCCTGGTGGCCTAGGGGTTAAAGTCTCAGAACTATCACCATTCCAGCTTTCGTTCAATCCCTGTCCAGGGAGCTAACCATATATGGCTCAGCAGACCCCTCCTGTCTTGCCCACTGCTCCCCTCAGCAGTGTTTCTTAATAGATCCACCTGTTCTGCTCCTCACTCTGTCTCCGGTGAATTCTCTCACCCCCTGAATCTCTGGCATACACCCCAGTTCTTTTACACAAAAAAGATAAATACAAATAAAAATGTCACATTACATAAAATGTTCTACCTAGACAAGTTTGCTTTCTTATTTTAAGTAAGATAAGAATAAAAAAAAGAAGCCCAACTCACCACTTTCTATTTCCTCTTCGTTGTCATCCTCCAAGATGTTAGCTGGGGCTGCAGATTCTCCAGCTTCCATCATGCTTTTCAAAGCTTCAAGCTGCTCTGTTATGAAAAGCCAGCAAAGAAGGAGACAGTGATAGATGTTAGATCCTTGGTAAGCCTGGACTTTAAGATCAATACTGAGAAGGAAAGAAGAGAGAAAGGAAATGTATCGTCTGGACGCCGATGGGCTGTGTCCCTGAACTGTGCAGTGGCTACTGCCTCCCCACTGCAGACGGTCAGGCTTCTCAGGGAGCATCATGCATTCAGGAGGAAGGGCCGCTGGAATGCGGTGAACGGGCCCAAATTACAGTCACAGGCTAAAGAGGGGAAGCTCAGTCACTGTAAAAGATGTAGTGCTTGGTAATAAAAGCCCAAAGTTCAGAGAATAAGGTGGAGACCAGGAGTTATAAACAATTATGATAAATTGACCGAAAAGAGGCATGTTCATCTGGGACTGACAAGATTTCAGGCAACTGATAGAACTCAGGTTACAGTCAGAAACTATGAAAAATCTCCAGGGAATGGAAGGTGGACAACTTTGTGACAGTATAGCAGGGCACGGTCCAACACGGATTGGATGGGCTTTGGCCAACTCTAACTATCCCAACTGATTTGAAAGAGAAGGCTGCACCAATGCACAAAATATATTCAAGCATGTTTATTATTTTTATTTCAATAGTAATGAAAATTCATTAACTCTGGGACTCGTTAGATTCTGCTATAGTCCACACAATAAATTCTGTATAGAATTAAATTTAGTATGTGGAGTTATATCCTCCTGGGTGAAGCCCACGTAATTTGCTGGATTAAAAAAATTTTAAAGATTACTCAACATGATTTTCCTAATTGTGTTAAAACATATATATATGTGTATATATATATATATATATGTGAGAAATATACAATTTAGTGCTATTTTATTATTTTCTCTTATTGTCCTTCACTTTAATTTTCCTTTTGTAGTAAACTTTATTTAATGAAATGAAAAAAATTATTTTATAATATCTGGATAAAAACATAATGCAACTATAGCAATATTTGATTCTACTGATGTCCTGAACTAAGAGATTTGGTCAAACAAAACATTTGCAAAGAAAATGTCCTGTCCTGGAATACCTGTATTCCTAGGGGAATACAGGGAGAGATATCTATATGAAAGAACTTTCCTTTTGGTCTTTCTACACACAGTCTCTCTCTCTCTCTCTCTCTCTCTCTCTCTCACCTGAGATCCTTATATTGACGTTAACACACTGGCAAAACACTAAGGGAAACTTTTACACAAAAGTTTAGAGTGTAAAATGACAACGTACCAGTGACTTATCTCTTGATAATGTCTAAAATGTTCTTCCTATTTCTCATTTTTCCTTGGGACCCAAGGAAGTCTTCTGATTCTGATATATGAATATGTGAGATGCTTCCTCACAGAAGGTAAGAGTTGATGTGGAAATGTAGCAACTTTGCTCTCAAAGGTACCTGCAACATCACCTCTATGTCCCACTTCTCCCTGCCAAACTAGCACATTTAAATGTATTTCATTCTAGAAAGGTGAATTGTCCAAACACGCAATGGATGTAACCTTCCGTTCCACCCAAGGATGTGGATATTTGACGTACTTTTTTCAACTTCGGGTTTCAGCCGTTTATTTTTGATGAGTATCTTTCTTTTGAGGTCATTGGGAGATGGCAAGGGTCTGCCTGGTTCGAGCTAGAGAAAAACAGAAAAGGCTGAATTAATAAAGGTTGTGCTTCTCCATTCCGTGACCAGAAAACATTGAGGAGGCCTGAGTGTCATACAATCCAGCATCCACTAGATGGCAGTCAGCAGTTTTATATTTTCATTCTTCAACCCAAAAGAGCCCAGGGCCACTAACTTTGCCTCAGATTAATGCTACAACTTGAAATCCAGTCTCCTGAGGTTCATAAGGGTTCCACCTAGGGATGTTGTCAGAGGAGGGGCATCTACGCAACCTCAGACCCCAGGCCTTGCCCCCTGTCAGCATAAATACAAGGACTCATTGTGACAGCTAGGTCAGAGCAGGATGTATCAGGAAGAAGTTGAGAGAGGCTCTCTGATCCCCCTGAAGTTGGGCTGTACAGTTAGTAGGCTGAACCAACCTCAGTATTTGGGACTGTGGTTTTGTGGGCTCAGAAGGGAACAAGGAATGGAGTGATTCTAATTACTGAAATTTGATCTCTACAGTGGTTGCATTTCCTTACATTTATGTCTAAACAAGGTGTCCCTTTCTTTTATTAACTTTGATCCACAGAACTGCATTATGTCCATTCATCCATTCCCTATCCCCCTGCCTGCTTGTCTCTATACCCTCCTACCTGTCTAATCACTAACTTCTCCACTTTTCCACATACCCATTCATTTTGAAACTAATGCTATCTCATGTATGACACACAAAACACTATGCATATGGCTATCTTCTATTCCAATAAGCTTTGCTGAATTCTTCTTCCTCTGGGAAGCTTACCATACCTGCTATGTTTCCCAGGGTTTGCTCCTGAACTTGGACATCTCCAATAAATACTGCCCACATCACAGGTCCTTTTTTTTAATTTATGTTTTTGTATTTTGGGGCTTTGACACCTCCTCACCCTCCTCCCCAAGCCTGAAAGCTCTTTCATTCAGGAACCAGTTTTTACTTCCATGTATTCCCTACACCTTTCACGTATGTGGAGACCACCCCGCACAAAGCAGGCAGTGGTCCACAAACAATCTCTTTAGCCCAACCTAAAAAAATGAACAGAAGGGCTAAGAGAAATAAATCAATTGCATTTATAAACTGAGAGATTATTCTTAGTTTGGGTTTCCTTAGGATCCATCTATGAGACAAGGATGAATACACCCGTTTTTTGGGGCCAACCCCATGAAGCTCCAACTCAGGAATGGGAAAGTGAAAGCCACTTCTCCTCTTTTTCACATGTTAACAGACAAGTGATCACTGGGGGAGCCCTGGAAACCAGGGAGTTTGCTCTCCTGGAAAGGGAGGGAGCAGTGGGGAGGGGGGGTGAATTCTCTGGAACTTCTGACTGTCTTTCCCATATGGCAAAGCAGACTCCAATGACCAAAGCTCATACTCAGAGAAAAGCTACAGATGCAGTTGGTCAAAAGCCAGGCCAATGTGCAGGGACACAAGAAGAGGGACAGGATACCTGCAGCAGTGGAGAATTAGGAGGTGAGAGACAAGGTGCAAACATCCCCATCTCCTATGTCTTTTTCAGTTCCCATAGATGCATGCCTGAAAAAGCTGGCTGTCAAACTACCTGATGGGTTCACAGGCAACAAAAAGCACCTTCTTTCATGTCTGTCATTTTGATGTTTGCTGCTACCGCCTGTGACCATATTTGGGCCCATTAGAAGCTGGTTGTTGAGAGCAGGAAAACATATTAGACTATTGAGAGTGTTTTATATTTTAATTCCATTAGCTGTCTTACTACTCATGATATCTTGTGAGAATGGATCTTAATCACTCAGTTGCGGATCCTTGTAAAACTGTGAACTCTCTGGAATAATTTTATAAAAAGCTGTATGCAGTTAGGATAAATTTATAGACCCCACAGAGCCTATCCAGGGGTCACAGGTTAAAAATTTCTGCTTTATGAAGGAATTAGAAGTTCTGAAAATGAAGTTCAATAATGTATCTATTAAACACTGCCCAACTTAGTTTGGAGTTGGGACTTGAAATTCTTGTGGCCTTCAATCTAGGGACTCCCCTTAGCAATAGGTTCTGAGGAGTGCTGATCCTGGATGCATATCTGAATTATGTGGAGAGCTTTGAAAAAGCATCATGCTCACACTTGACCTTGGGTTGATTAAATCAGAATCCTTGAATGGGTCTGTGGCAAAGGTACTGGTAACAGTTCACTCAGGAAGTCCTAACACAGAACTAAAGTTAAGAATGGCGGTTGAGTCTAGACTCCTGGCCAATGAGAATTTTACGAAATTTTGGAACAGAGATCTCAGAAACCACAGACATCCTTCAACCTTCCACACCAAATAGAAATGTTTATTTTATGAGCCTTCTAGGTATTCCTCTAAAGTGTGATGAAAGCTTTCTGTACCAATGCATTTAAATAAATGCAGAGAACTTTATTTTACATCAGTTGTCCAGAAATACTTGAACCTTTAGAAATAAATTCAAACAAGTCCATTCACGTTAGAAATATGGTTTGCTAAAAATACTTACTGGATGTGATTCAAGTGCTTGTTTCAACAGGAGATCCCCAAATAGATCTTCACAATACTTGGACATCTTGTACTGTTGATATTTGCTGGAGAAAAAGAACTGGCATTTGTAAATTCAAACAACCATTGACTGTATGAGAATAAGAAACATCCATTTCTAGATGATTATAAACTCCCACTTGGTGATGAGAAATGCCCACTTGGAAAATCAAGACTGTGCTCTTGATATGTGAGATACAAATATCACAAACTCGACCACAGTAGCTTAATTGGATTATGTCCCTAGACTGAAAGCTGGTAAACAGAACAGACAGTGGTCTTCAAGGTCATGAAAGTTGATTTCATACAGATATTGCCAAATCCTCTAACTCTGTGCAGCTTTGAGCAAGGTGTCCTGTTCTGGCATGTTGTTTAGAGGAAGCATCTCTAAAACATCAAAATCACTTGGTCTGTTTTATTTTAGAGGTGGGGGCAAGCAGATTCATTTTTTTTTGGGGGGGGGGGAAACCAAAGAGTCCCTCCCTGCCTTTGACAGGTCAAATGCTGTTTCACAAAATCACATCACTTCACAAAACAGACTGTTCCTATTTGGTTATTTAAAAAGACACAGAGCAGAATAGGGGATGGGGAGAAACAATGCTTCGAGACTTGGGAGTAGAATGATCATTATACCTGCAGTGATTTTCAAAGGAGAGAATTACAGGATATTCAGATGTGACAAATGCAGTTTCCTTGATGGCTTGAATAACATCCTTTAAAGATAAAGAGTGTTAATAAGAGAGCAGAGCAAAAAAGCAAAGAAAAAAATTAAGGCACTTGAAACCGCTCGGAAACTATTAATTTGAACTTTATAGAAAGTCTGTTCAGATCTGGAAACCATTTACCTTGATAACGCCACAAATGAATCCCTTGTGGTTTGACTCAGGTGCAGTTAATGGCTAATGACAATTTTTACCCCCTCCCAGAACTATCTTTTCTCTAAAATATGGTGTTGCTAACTAATAAGACAGTTACCTACATGGCATGTCAGTTCTGGGCTCAGTCTCTGTCAGGATGGGTCTGGAGTTCACCTTGATCTACAAGGAGCAGATGAGATTTTGGCACAGAGTCTTTTATAACAGGTTACTGCACTCCCTCCTCCTCAAGGGGAAACTGCTGGCAATAAGCCAAGGACTGTGGGAAGGTTTTATTGACTTTCCTCTGTGCTTCCGAGTCACTTTTGGGCTACATTTCATCAAATCAATGTAGATTCCTGTGAACTTATGCGACATTTACAATATCCCTTGTTTAGTATTAATGCTTAATATTGGGTTGTCAGAAAAGTCATGATGTAGTTTTTCTGTTTTTCAAGCAAAAATGTGTCAAGACTTTGCCACCTTCCCAATAGAAAGTGGGAGGATCTCAGAGAGGGTTCTTTTTGGAACACCTGCAATATGGGAGTAACACAGGGAAGTACTCTGGAGCGGCTCTCTGAACAGAGAACTTAGTAACTTGAAGAAAATTTTGAAAGGGTTAAGCATATTCACGATCTCTCTGAAGTAGGAGGGCTCTAACAGAGGATTAGTCCTGCTCTCTGTTTAACTTTGGGAAGTATGGATTCTGACCAATGCTTCTACGATCAGAATTTGGTCAAATTCTTACAGGTTATCATTAGCTAAAAGGCAAATGCACCATTCAGTTAATTGCATCAATCTAAGGAAGTTAATTTTTAATAGTACTCTGGGTTAGATAATCTTGAAATATTATATAGAGACATTTTGGCTAAACGCTAAGTAACTGCTCTTACTTAAAGCTTCTCAGGTGAAAATCCCCATGACCTTGATTGTCCACTTGAGCTGACCAACTCAACCAATGTTTCCTCAAGTTATTTTTTGAGGAAAATCATGGTTCTGCCCTTTGCTCACATTCAAGCTGAAGGGGATAGTCTTCTTTTTAGCCAAGCTTCCTTATTAGGCTCCTTGGCTCTTTAAAGAAGACATCAAGCCTTCCTATGAGGTTGGGATGTGCAAACTCATGGCTTCCCACTTGAATATACTTCTGGAACTTCTTAGGAAATTTAATCTTGAATTCACTGCTGCTCAAAACTCAGCACTATCTCGACTAAGAGAAATAACATGCACGAAATGTTAGGGGTATAGGGTCTGCATGTTTAAGAACACCCTGGTGGCTTTTCATAGGAAGGAAGGATTGAGAATTGTTACTCCAGATGTTGCAATATCATCCCAAGTTATAGTAAAGCAACATGAACTGATATAGCTGGTACAGTGGCCAACCATAGATTTTTTTTAAACTTGTCTTTTGGCAAGATATCCTTAGACATTTAGAGGAATGCTGCTAAGAAACCAGCCTTCCAACTGCATGTTGAGATCACCAAAAGGGTATCACTGTGAAGCCAATTTGTGAAACTGTAGAGGAGGTGAAACTCCTCAGGACAAAACCTCTCTGGTGCCCCTTCTGAAAATTATTGTGTTTCACCAAAACAACAGCTGTTTGGTGTTTTATGAATACTGAGAATCATCGTTTTTCCCTCCTTGAATTCTAGAAAGTCTAGAGCCTAATTTGTGGTATGGCTTGACAGTTTATAGGATTCTTGACAGGCACTCATAAACTCTCGTCTCACTATCTAATCTTCTTGCCTTTCTAAGCTCTATTTATAACCTCTTTTACATTTTCTGTATTCCATTTCTCTTTTTTATTCCACTTTGAAGTGCTACAGAATATTATGAAGTTATAAAACAAATCAGTAAAAGAAAATAAAAGACTTTTTAAAGTAAATAAACCAGGGAGATTTTGCTAGGAAACCTCATTAGAAAGCATCATCACCATTTGAAACCAGGAAAAGAAGCATAAAGGAGAGAACATTCTCCTCAACACTGGAAGAAAGGACTACAAAGGCAAATTGCTTAAGAAAATGCATAATATGCTTCCCCTTCTACAGTTCACTATTTCTTGCATTTTCACAATTGTTTTGAAAAAGTTGCATAATTTTAAAATGTACCTTAAAAAGAATATCGGTGCACATTGCTTTTCCATGAGTTATTATTGGTTCTTGGTCTTCCCCTTTTCCATCCCAACAGTCAAGTTCAACACATCTAGGACATAGTGAAATTGTAACATTGAAACCTTACAACAAAATAGTATGTATGCAATTAAAGGAAAGACCACACAATAAGTTATTTCCATGTAGATAAGTAGATAATGGAGTTAACCAATATGACTATGGGGTTGTCAGTAAAGTCATGATACATTTTTTCGATGTATATATTATGACTTTTCCTTTTTACTATTTCTTCGTTTGTAAAGTAGAGTAAATCAAAGGTCACCATATACAAAAAGCAACAACTGCCTTGAGTTTCTGACCTGCAACCAGCTAGGAGAACCTGTCTGTACATTTCCACTGAAGATTTCCCGCCAAACTGCCGGCCGGTGAGATAGGTGTTATGGGAAGAACTGATGAAGTAGTGAGCCAGAGGATGGTCCATTTCTTGGTAAAGTTCTAAACGATCTAGGAAGACTGGGGCATTTTCATCTGACATCAAATATCTGCAAAATCCATCACTTGATATGAGGCCTGAGGACAAAAAAAGATCTTAGTAGACTTTGGCTCTGCGGATACATAACTCATCTTTTATTTGTGGAGCTGAGGCAGTTTCTTCTTCTTCGTAGTTTCTTTACTAAGAATCTGCATTGTTGAGCACTTGAATGAAATAACAGAGCTGCACATTGTAAGTAATTTGTGAATATCTTCCACAAATGGGCAGTACTGGCTTTCCTAACCACAATGGCAGAAACACTCAAGTCCCTATGCACAGAAACCCAGCTCCAGGAGTTGTGGTGACCAGGGGGTTTGTTTGTTTCTGCCTCCATGACTCATTCCACACACTCCTGGATATCAGCTTGCTCTTTTGTCAAATGAGGGAAAATACTATCAGCACCTGCTTTCCAGACTTGTGATGAATGTTAAAAGAGAACATGTACGAGAGGAGCACTTCAAAAAATGAAAAACATAGCTTTAAGGCATATTCTCCCTGCTAGATTATAGCAAGGTGGAAGATTAGTGGCCTCTTTGAATTTTCCAATTTTATCTAAAAAAGGAGGGTATTAAATGGATGAGGAGAACATGCAGTGGTCACTTAAATGTGGTCCCAAGAGCCACTGTTCATTCCAGTCATAATTTCCTGAGAAGTGGCAGGTTCATATGGTAACTGCAGAAGAGGAATGAATATTTCTGCCATTTCTCCTACCCTGTCAACCATCAATAGCAACAAATTTTTGTTTTTATTTAAGCATTCTCAAATTATGAATTGCTTTCAAGCTTACAGAAAACAGAGTATAATAAAGAGTCCTAAGCCACCATAGATTTGCCAGATCTGAGCATTTAATCTTATTTGTTTGGCAATTTTTAAAGGAATATTTACACAGTCCATTAGAGTGCTCTGTGGAACCCACCTCAGTTTCACTCAGTTCCATCTTTCTATTGTCAAAAAGACAATAGCTACTCAAGTGTTTGTGTTTAACATTCTCACAATGGCATTTAACTTTGTTACACTAATTCAAGTAGGTATTTTTGAAGATCTTAAAATTTTTATCAAAGTTATCTCACTATTTGCATTTTTACTCTGTATTTCCTTGGGGCTTACTCAGTAAATATAATTAGCTCTTGTTCATTTGTTTTCACTGACAAATGTATGTTAGTGTGTTTATAATAGCATACAGAATATACGAATACAGAATATAGCATCCATATACGAATATACCACAATTTATTATCCACTCTTCTGCTGAAAACCACATGTAATCAAGAGTTCTGCCATGAAAATGTGTGCCATTCACAATATAGTCACTCAATATAGCCATTCAACTAACATTCCTCCCCTTAAAGTTTGTAGAATGCTGTTTTATTATTTCACATCACCTCTGATCTATATGCAAAAACCTGCATATATACATTCATTCTAAAAGCAAGTACTTTTCAGGGCCCTGGGGTAGAGGCAGTATTGAAGAAACAGACAAACCACACCTTCATGAAATTTGCATATAGTGAGTAAAAGAAAAAAAATAAATGAATTCAATATAATGTCAAACAGGAAACAAAGTCTGGGAGTGAAAGTGATAAAGAATGACCAGGACTCTGTGTTTCATACATGGTTGGCGAGAGCTCTTCCCAGGCGGTCACATTCACACATGCACACCTGGGGGACCCCCAGCAGCAGAAGGATCCGTATATACAGAGGATTTGAGGCAGGAGTGTTTCGTGGAGGGGAAGGTTGCTGGGGATGAGGGTGATGTGGGACCCAAAGATTACATCAGCTGGACTTCAGTCTTCACTAAGTACTTTGGATTTTATTCTAAGTGTGTTGGGAGACCTTGGGAAGGTTGTGAAGAAGGGACTAGCATCATTAAACTTGGTTTGAAGGTTTATTGTGGCCACTGTGTGGTATATAAATTGTAGAGCTGAGCAGAAAGGAGACGAGATGGACACTAACACCTTATCCAGGGAGAGAGCAATATAGACTTGACAGTCTGGTAAAGACGGAGATGGTGAGAAATGATTTACTCAGCATGTATTTTTTTTTTTAAGATTTATTTTTTTTATTTATGTGCAAAGAACTGGGGTACAGGCCAGAGGTGCAGGGGCGGCGAGAGGATTCACCAGAAACAGAGAGGGGAGCAGAACAGGCGGATGGATGAAGTACACTGCTGAGGGGAGCAGCAGGTGAGACAGGAGAGTTCTGCCGTGACATGCGGGATGGGGGATTGAATTTGTACTGAAGCGGCTATAGCCAGCTTGCAGTGCTGTGCTCTAACCTACTGCGCAATCAGGGATGTATTCAGCATGTATTTTGAGGAGAGGTTTTGCAGGTTTTTACGGATAGATCAGAGAAATAACAAAATAGCTTTCTACGCACTTCAAGGAGAGGAATGTTAGTTGAAATAACAAAACAGCTTTCTACACACTTCAAGGAGAGGAATGTTAGTTGAATGACTATATGGACCCCATCATCTCAGAAGCAGAGCAAGTAAAGCCCAGAGGTAGTTTTTTACTCAAAGTCACACAGTGATGAGCATCCAATCTCCTTCCATTCCTGCAAAGTGCAAAATTTTCTAGCCAGTAACTTCCCCTTCACTTAAATCACAGCGATGTGGACTACATTGTAATATTCAGAATTTTGATAGGGAGTGCAATAAGGAAACACTCTTGAGGAAAATAGCTATTTTCAGCCTTAGCAGATCTGTATTCCTACAGCTATGAGGAAACTGTTGGGCTTGAAAATTATCAAGGGGTGACGTCATGTCATATGGCGAACCATGCATGGGTATAAGCAGGTTCTACGTGGGTTCAGAGAGTGAATACACCTTTCAGCAGTATTTACTGGCATCTGATACAAAGAAGAAAAGAACTCCTATTTTAAAGAGGAGGAAACTGAGGCCATGATTCTCAAGGGCATCCGCGGTGGACAGAATTTGAACCTAGATCTCTTCCTCTCCACTGGAGCTGAGCCAGAGACTCTGGCTCAGGAATTTCCCAGCACCCTCCAATTATGTTAGCACCATCCACCCATCTCGGCCTCTGCAAGTGGTTTCCACTGCCTTGGGGCTGATCTTAAATTTCTTCTCCAGGCCAAAAATAGAAAATAGAAAATAGAAAAGGGCAATTTGTTGTTTTCAAGCTTTCATTGAAAGGGGTAAAGTTCCATAATCCCTAACAATTTGCTTAATTGATTCTTGACTATTCATATCAATTGCATTTATCATTCACACCAGAGGTCAAATGATGGGTGAGAAAGCTTATCAAGTCATGTGTTAATTTTATCTGGTGTGGCTAAACAAAAGGGGAAAAAATAGTTAAAAATTTATATAGGGAATGAAAGTCTTCTTATAGGAAATGAAAGTCTTCTCCAAGATTCTAAATAGAGACTGTATTTGGCATTTTTTTTTAACATTTTAAACATCTGTAATACTAAAGACTTAATACAGGAAAGTACATGGGAGAGTATCACTATACTATATTTACTGACACAGTAGATCTCTTTGCATGAGGCTTCAGACAGCATAGATAAATTCTAATTAAAAAAATGTAAGTAAAAAAATTTACATTTAGAACAACAGAAAAAAAAAAAAAAACCAGTCAGTTCTCAATCCATGGCTGTAGGAGTCAAAAGCATTTAAAGATACCTTTAAAAATCCAAAGAAAGAAAAACCCGCTTTTTTCACTTTTACTACCTTTTTTCTTCAAATCTTCATCAGGCTCGTACATCTCAATGATCTGCATTGCCCTTTTAACATCATAAAATGGGAATAAAATTTCATTCAGTCGAGGATCTCGTTGATGCTATGATGAGAAAACAACTCCATTTAAGTTCACATATCTTGCTTTTGGGGCATTTACATGACTAAAATACAGATTCTTAAAAACAGGTCTGTCTAGGCTATCATTTTTATAGTTACAAAGATAGGATTTCACTATCCTCCTGCCTTTCTCCCTAAAATAGTCTTCAAAAAAAGTCCAAAATTGGAAGCACTTTGTTGGTTTCTTTCACTGATCTAAAGAGGAGAGAATACAGAACATACTTTTTTTTTTCCCTCCAAAAGTTGAAGGCTCTCTAAGATGGTGTGCATGTCAACTGTATTGTCTTCTAGTTCCCAAACCACAGGGGAGTGATTTGGCAGAATTGTCTATAAAAAAAGAGGTCAAATTTCTTTTTTAAAAAAGGAAAAACAAATAAATGCAAAACCCAAAATAGTTCAAGTAGATCATATGGTAAGCTAGTGCCAAAACAAAAACAAACATAACCTCCAAAAAGCCTTAATGTTAACAGGGAAACATTTTATTTTTATTATATCTTTCTAAAACAATGTAGTATTTATTGGGCAATCTATAAACTTCAATTTCTGGAATAAATATTAAAATGAACCAGTTAAAACAATGATAAAAATTAATCAGCATAAGGATATTTACAGGTTATAAACAATATGAAAATCTGTATTTAAATAGAAGTAGATTCCAACGTTTTTTCTGTATCATATCTAACTTGGTTTTCTCTGAGCATGTTCACTGGGCAGAAAGTAAATGAATGGTTAAAGCACTTAGGGGATGGTGATGTCATTCTTTTCACATCAGCACCTAGATGCTCCTGGCACTCTAGAAGGCACTAAGAATATACCCTAAGTTCATAGCAGTGGTGAGAAAAAGTTTTATTGATTTAGTTATAAGGTTGTGTGTATGGATGTATGTGTATTGTGTGTGCACACATGTGTGTACTGTGTGTGTGTGTGTATGTTTCTGTGTGTGGAGACACAGGGTCCACTGAACTTCATTGTTCATTGTGGATTAAAGGACCGCATGCTTGGTCATGTATGAAATACATGAATAAAGCAAACTTCAATCGAATAATGGCAGATAGCACATGTGAGCAAAACCTGGTCAATAGGTAAAACCTTGGCAACAACTCTTTACCCAAATATATGCACAGACTTTGAAAGACACTACTGAAACAATTGTTAAAAGTTCATAAAGATTTCCCTTCTCCATATGTTTTGAAATGATTATTGGAAAAACGGGCTATCAGAATGAATACCTTTGGCCAACAGAATTTCACTTGACATAATTCCCTACAGCATTTGTGGCTTTGTCTGTTCTGGTCCTTATCCCCTTCCCATGCAGTTAAGAGCATCCACCAATAAGAAATTAATATCCTTTTATTAATGTATCCCAATGAAGCATGCTTCTGTTGTACTCTAAGAAAATTAAGGCTCACAACAGCTCACATCCATGCATGTGGTAGAGCAGATACTGTTATGTCAATAACAGGCCTTGAGACCATAAAGAACAAAGTTGTGAAGTATGCAGAAAAAGAGGAATTGTGAGGTGGATCATGGACTGCCAGGCAAGGGAGGGCATGCCATAGTTTGTTTAGGAAATGGATGGGTGCCATGCAACTGTCGAGTCTTCAATTCAAGGGAATGACAAGCACCACCTCTCTGGTGAGAACGCACTGTTTTCAAAACAAATAAGCAAACAAACAAAAAATTCTTTGTAGGCATATTCCTTCTCCTGTCTCTGTCAGTAGTATCACAGAAGAAGGTGGTTGTGGGAGGCAAATATCCTCTTGGGGGCCTCCCACGTGGCTCAGGAGTTAAGACTCAACACTATGAAACTATCAACAGCCAGTGAAGCACAAGTTCGATCCCCGGATCCCCGACCAGGGAGCTGACCAACATGGTGCAGCAGACCTCTCTGTCTTGCCAGCTGCTCTCCTTAGCAGTGTATTTCAATAAATCTGCCTGTTCTGCTCTCCATTCTGTTTCTGGTGATTCCTCTCATCCCCCACACCTCTGGTCTGCACACCAGTTCTTGTATGCATAAATAAATAGAGTCTTTTAATAAAAGACCCTCTTTGGACCCCAGTGCAGTTATGTTTATGGTTGAAACTGGATTTCTTTTCCTTCTTGAAATGAAGTCTTTTTACTTAAATATTTGCTCACTGGTAAGTATTCTGTACTCATGGAAATGTCAGGGCAAATCTGTATGAATTAAAGACAGAGATTAAAGAATCAGCTAAAGAGAAGCAGTAAAGCTAGGGAAAGGAGAGGAAATTGGACATTGATGTGGTTTTATATCCATCTACGTGTCTATTGTAACCTAGTGGTTACTTGCAGTGTGAAGACTATGCACAATAGCAGTGGCATCTCCCTCACCTGGGTGTTTGTTAGAATGCAGATTCCCAGGCCCCATCCCAGACCTATCAGATCTGATTCTCTGGGGTGAAACTCATGACTCTGTGTTTCAATATGTCTTAACGCTGATTCTCTGTAAGAAGTGTATTCCAGTTTGAGAAGCACTGCTCCCACATGTAAAAGCATGTTGAAGTTGTTTTAAAAAGGTCCCCAAATCCTGCAATCACAGAAATGCTAAATATTTGAGATAGCCTCCCAACTGAATTCCATTAAAATTTGGCTCTAAGATATGAAAGTCACTGGTCCATCTTGACTCTCAGAAGCAACAGTCGGGCAAAATGAGTCCTAAGATGGATGGGTCATAATCCACTACTCTTCCATTTTTAACAACTAAGTATTATGAGCAGACAATATGAAATTGCATTTGCCTTTGCATCTGCTCAACTTGATGAAATCACCTTTTGTTCTCGCTGAAATTTTCACATTTCAAAAAGGAAACATAGGACAATCTGGTTAAGCAAAAGGCAAGGAAACAAACATAAGGTTTGTGATAGGCACAAAAGCCTAATTTTTGTATGAAAAAACAATGAGTAGAAAGCTCATTTCCAGGTAATTTCAGAGTAATAAGATTGTGTAAGAGTTCCACAGGGACAAAAGCACAGTGAGGAAAATGCTTCCCAACGGTGAGGGACCCACTGGCTTTTAGCAGAGATTGGGGAAGTGATGTATCCAGGACATTCACCCCATGCTGTCCAGAGCTTTGTAAAATGAGATTCTAAATAGCTTCTGAAAATAGGTCACAGAACTGGCCCACGTCAATGAGGAGATAATGGGCCTTACTCCATTATTCTGTCCTTACACTTACTGAGAAAAGGCATCAACCCAAGCAGCATTGGGAGAGACTGATATTGACATACATAATATTCGAGAGAGATATAAATAACAGTTTGTCAGAGTAGGCTTATTCATCAGGCTAAATACCGCCCTCTGTCTTTTTTTCCCTTCACATTAAAGGATAAAGATACTGTAAATGGAAAGAAATCTTGGGCCCTCATACTGTCTCAACTATAAAAGAAAATAATTTTTAAGAATCAGGTTTAGCCCTAGTGTGAACATGTGATATATGTGAGGTAGAGTTATGTTTACCAGCAACAGAAAAATCAAGCTAATTCTTAATTATTGTGGCCACCGAAGACTTTCTTTTCTCTTCTTATTTTGATCTCTCTCTTCTGCTCTCCATGCAACTTCCAATTCTGCAGACTCTTAATTCTTACCATCTTTGTAAGTCAGACGAGAATAAGGTAAAATTAAAATCAACTAGATTCTCTCCAGGAAGAGAGAAGGGGTAGGGAGTGAAACTGAAGTCCAGAGATTTCCAGTCTTGTCACATACAGAAAGCTGGCTTGGTAGCACTATTTAACCTGCGGCAACACACAGTGAATGCTTCTGGCAACTCTCCTAAACTCTAGCTTGCCATTTTGCAATATAAGCAAAGTTTTCCTTAATCCACTGGATGGGAATTAGACTGGGGTATGGCATGATTTTAGACCTGGGTGGTAGAATTCTGAGACTAAATTCATTATGGAATGTAATTAGATATATGCTGTTCTTACAATCTTCCCGTGACATAAAGCATTCTGAGGGGAGATCCAGAGAACCTACTAAAAGAGTGGGTTCACAAATTTTCAAGTGCAGACAGACTACCTGAAGAACCTGTCAAATGTAGAATCCAACTCAGTTGATCTGGGGGGGATCCAAGATTCTGGATTACTAGCAAGTTCCCAGGGAGCCAGTGCTGCTAGTCCAAATCACACTTCTGGAACAATGAGCAAGGAGATACTGAGAGCAGAAAAGGAACAGGTCTAAAGCTACTAGTGACAACTTTGTAAGTGGACAGGGTGGGAGACATGGACAGGGAGGAGGAACAATCCCCTCCCCAACAACCAATGCAGTAAATGGCTGATCGTTTCTCCTTCCCTTCCAGCAGCCTGAAGATCCTATTAGTACACATTAGAGAGAATATTTCATATAAAGAGCAAAGGGATTTACAAACTGTGAATTGGTGGCTAGCAGCAAGGCTTCTGCTAATATAAATTTGATTTTTTCCTTTGTTAGTTATCTAATTGGTTCATAGTGGTGTGCATGTGTCTGATTGTTGATCACTTCTCTGGCTACCTTTTATTTATTCAAACAGTTGTTCAGTTGACAATTTCGCTGACCAGAGTAATAATTACTTGCAAATAGTCAGAGGGCATTGCCCTTTCCTGTTTGTGAGGCTCTTTTATTATTTCTTGTCTTAGTGCAGTATTCAGAGCTTCTAGCACAATGCGAATTCTGTCCTGTTGAGATAATGTGACTGAAGTATTTTTAAGATGTTTAGACCTAAGCCCAAATATTGGAAAGCATACTCCCTTCTTAAGTGAACTTTTCACTGTGGGTTTTGAAAGAGTATATAGAGTATTTTGATTTTTGGAGAGATGAGAGGGGTAATGCTAGGGCTCAAAAAAGAGGGAGCAAAGAGCTAGTGGAACATTCTAGAAGTTTGACAAAGTTTCTTCAGGAGACAGTCAGATTTCTCTCTAGTGCTTCCATTTGAGTTTACTGGGATTGGCTAGAACATGAAGAGATTCAGAGTAGAAGTGACTAAAAATAAAGGCTGTACACTTTCCTAAATGCTCTTGTATTCTCTGTGGCCTAAAGAGCTCTTGAATCATGATGATTCCAGATTATCCCACCCCAAGTCACAGGTGCTCCTGTAGTGAAGCCTGCACCAAGAATAACCACATGGTTCCTGTCCTGCATTCCTGAGGCTATGATGGGTCATCTAAAGCTTAGCTGAGGATTTCTGTTCCTTCTGAAGCTGCTGAAAGCATGAGTGCCTGTTTAATATCTGTGGTTCATTTTAATTGACAACACAGAATAGGGCAACCTATTTAAACAGTGAAATGCATATCATCAACTGTCTTGGGATTGCCTGACTACCCTAGACTGCCTGCTGCCCCTCAGACCTGAGAAGACCAAACTCTCCCCATTCCTGCATGTTTGCATATTCTCTTCTTTTCTGTATCATTTTCCTCTGCTTGCCATGCTGGCATGTAGGCTTTTCTTGAGTACTGACTCCTGCTGTTCTCCTGATGTGGTGCCACTTGTAGATAATACATTTGTGTGTGTGTGTGTGTGTGTGTGTATGTGTAAACAATCTTGTGATAATGAGTCCTGAGCACCAATGATACAATCTGGTTTGGTTGGTGACATTTCCTTAATGTCAATGACAATGCAAATAGAAACATTAAAAAGATGAGTTCTACTGGCCACTATAACAGTGACTAGATGACAAGTATTTTAAGGAAAAATGTGAATAGTAAAGCAAGAAAGTAAGGGTGACCATATCTTTTAAATATTAACTAGTAAGTCTTAGATTAATAGGAATAAGGAGAGTATTATTATATAGGTATATAAAAATAAGCCATGAAGGGAAAGGCAGGAGATAAGACTTCAGAATCATTTCTTTATTTAGAGAGTGAAATGCATATTAAATTCTGTAATGTTTGATAGATGGCTGGTGCATATAAGAAGAGCATATAAGAATTCTTTTTTTTTTAATTTTGGAAGTGGCAATTGATGATATGGTGGATTTTCTCGCCTCCACTCAAGTGTTTTTCTTCTTTAGTAGAAACAAGATTCCTGTCCACCTCAACAAAACTTAAGATGATCAGTGGCCCAAAGTGCAGGATGAAGCTGAGGGAAATAAAACTACATATATATATATATATATATATATATATAAAGTAGAAGAGAGAGAGAGAAGGGGTTAAAGAAACAAAGAAAACCAATTTATTTTCTGAGTAGTTGGTGGCTAAGAATGTGAATAATATCTGGGTAAAGACGGAACATAGTATTTGCATGACCAAACACTGCTAGGGTGGAAAATTTGAAATATTTTCAAATAAAATAAATATTGTAATGTGTTGAAAGGATTATTTAAAAGTGGAAGCTTCTGTGCTGATGTATGGATGCCTTCTCTTTCCTCTATCAGTGTTTCTGAGCTCTTGTTACTACAGCTTCGAATGTGTAACCCTACACACTGGGGGCCTTTGAGCCCTGACAGGGGAAGAAGAGGAAAGCTTTTGGCACTGATGTCATTTGTCTTTACAAACTGGCAAATCAAAGTATGCCTGCTGTCAGTTCTTAAGGCAATACTTCACGACTGGCATTAGGTCCTTTATAACATTTACTGGCATAGTGGTCAATGACAACTGTTTTTAAAAGATAAATATATTGCACATTCCTCACTTAAATTCTTAATGTATCAGAAAAATGTGGATTTTCCTTTTATTGGATTAATAAGAGATACAATGGGTTTCACTGAAGAGAAAATCCATTTCTGTGGATATGTAAAGAAAAAAAGTTGTTCTAGTTGTGATACAAATTGGAATCTTTATATCTTTATGTGTTCTCATAACACATTTTTTGGTGCTCAAGCAAATTTTTGTAGCCAATTTTGGCTGTTAAGTAAAAGGCATTCTAAAATGAGGTCTGAGCATATTGTAGAAATAAAAAGCAAAAATTTGACCTGTAATCCAATATAGGCACTAAATTTTCACCCAGGAACTCCAGTGTTGTGCTGTTTCAAAATATTTTGTTTGAACCTACTTTTTTTTTTTTTAACATGCAATTCATTAAGAGACAAAAATAAAGCTTTCTAGTCCATGCAAGATATGAGAAAAAAGTTAGCAATGGAGAATCCAATAGTAGTGTGGTAAACTCAATCCATTCTCTCTACTTAACAAGAGCAATAGAAAAAAAAAATACCTTAAATACCATCTTGCAAAAGTACACACATATTTAATTAAATGAATATCTTATAAAATACACACACACACATACACACACAAAACCAAAGCTACACATCACAGCAAGAAACCAACAAAAAAAAGCAGTGTGCAAAGCAACATACAGGAAGCGAATGGATACACAGGGCAACAGCTGATTTTTGCACCTGGTAAAGCCATCATGGAAAGATCAGCAGGTCAGAAGCAAAGCAAATGAGGGCATATGAAGCGGCATGCAATGAGACACTGGAGAGGCAAGCCACTGCACACAGACTTTATGGAGTTAATGTATGAAAAAGCTTACTTCATTTAGAAAGCTCACTAATTGGTCTACCGTTAAATAATCAGTTTTGTCTCCATTGCTGAAAAGAAATTTATTAGAAAAAGTAAGTTTTTGTATATGATGCTACAGTAGGTACGATTTACATGTTGACATTTGTTGATGTTAATTCTAAACTTATTTTCTAACCCTGAAGTAGTGGTGCATTCTTAAAATGGCCAGAGACTGGAAGAAAAAAAAAAAAAAAAACAGCAACAATAAACCAACAACAAGGGAAAGAAAACATTCTAGCTCACAGTAAATATCTGCAATTCTTCTTTAGCATTATAAAAAAAGTGTTACTTTAAAAACAACATGTAAGTCATCCATTTGGAAGAATTGGAATGAATGAACTTTTCAACAACATAATAACATTCCAAATCCAATCTAGTTAGTTCACATAACGGGTTAATACCTAAAGGAGCAGGTTAAAATTGTAGGTAGTTAGTAAAGCCAATGCAGGGGGGAGGAGGGGGGGGAAGGGGTTCCAGGTGCTGCAATTAACTTCATAAAAGTTTCTCAAAGAATCAGAGTGAACTTTTATACTAAGGGGTGAAAGTGTAACTCTGGCTAAATATCCTAGACACTATCAACATTGCTATCAAATCTTAGCTCAAAAAATTTTTTAAAACTCTAAAAGGATCACATTACAAGACACTTGCTCATAAGTAGAACTTACATTTTTTTAAAAAGATCCTCTATATCTGTCCGAGGACAAATCTTTTGTGTCAGTTCATAGAACTTGTCATAAGTAAATGCAGCAGGTTCAATTTCATCATTCTGCAAAGAATACAAGAGTGCTATCAATCACGGTGGGGTGAGAAGCCAAGAGCTGGCCACTTGGGAGTCCCCAGGGTCCCTGTCTTCGATTCTTGCTGACAGGAGCCAGAAGGCCAACCTCCAGCCCCGGCAGGCCATCCCATAGAACACTGTACATATAGATGAGCATTTCCAGTCAGTATGCAGCCACGGTCTGGCCTTCAACCACAGGCTACAGCTGGGCTACAGCCACCTACAGCATAAATCTAGAGAAATGTTTTCTTCTCATCTCCTTAAAGGTGAAAAGCAAGAGCCTGCTTAGAGGCTGCTGAATAAATCAAGCTCATGTTTACTTATGTTTATTTTATGAGCTTTCATAAGACCACATAAAGGGAATACAGGACATCATATAAGATTTTTCTTTCATAACTGAAGTTTATATTTCAAAGAGGATTTTTAAAAGTAGTTAACAGGTTTAACTCTTTCTTGCAGTCAAATTAATTTCAATGATTTTAAATCCAAAGGGCCCATCACACAAATGGTTGGTTTGGGGAGTGGTGCTGGATAAAACATCACACAGCCTTCTTGAAGAACTGATTTATTAGTTTATTATTCATGTTGCCATTGGGCTTGGTCAAGGCGGTTGATGGGTTTCTATAAAGTAAACTTTCTTTAAGCTGTATAAAAGAGCAGCCTGGCTGTCATTTCCTGTTCTTAAAAAAGTTGACAAAACCATTTCAAATTATATTCAATGAATCATAAAACATTTAGGTTAAAGTACCCACAGAACAAAAGGAAGGAAAGGAGGGAGGGAGGGAAGGAGAGAGGAAGGAGAGTGAAGTGTGACCATATTGACAGAATCTAATTCTAATTAAGATCAGCTTAACATAAAAAGTTTGGCTTATTATACCTAAGGACATAACTTAAAAAATGGTTTAGAAGTACATTACTAATAAATACCTTTCCACTGGGAAGACCTAGCTCCTTCAATGCTTGGAAGATCACCTTTTCTGTTTTCCCCGATGCAAAGGTTCTAGTAATACTAGAGTAGAAAAGAAAAGAAAAAAAAAAAGTTAATTCGGTTTTCTCCAGGGCAAAGATTCAAGTTATACTAGGGAGAGGGGAGTGATGAAGAGGAAAGTAAAATTACTTTTCATTTCTAGGCTTATTTATTTTACTTCCTAAACTAGCTCCTTACTTCTGAAACTCCCAGAGCTGATTGTGCTAGTCAGGCAGCTTGAAACTAAGACAGGTCCCTCCTGTCCTATGTGCTTGTGAACACTGGGGGACATTACAAGATACCAACAATGCGAATATTTGATCTACCAAATTAGCTTCTTAGGAAAAAAGAAATATGGTAGATGGGTCAACAACTCTTGATCAAACCTCAGGTTGGCAACAACGACGCTAGGGGAAAAGACTAGATGCCGTAGAACTTGGCCTAAGCCTGTGGTTATCCTAAGGCTGGCTTCACACCTACTATGCTGACATCCACCATCAGATAAACTGTATTCCTTTTTTTGGTCTAAGCACCTTCGAGTTATTCTGAAACGTCAGTTACTTCAAAGATTTGGGGCTTTGTTTTTTATAACAGAGAGGAATCTCCATAAAGAGGGGAGGTTCCATGTTCCCTGTTGCACCTTATGAGAGGGAGAGCTGAGTGGCCAGGGGAAACAGAAGACACCAGGAGAGACACAGAGCAGAGGAATAGGTGAAGAGAAAGGTGCTCGTGCTTCTCAGCTGTGGATTTGCACCAGGGACCTGGGGACACGACTGGGGCACTTGGAATCAAGACATGTAAAGACACTTGGAAGATATGTGGGGAGGCGACAATGGCAGCTGTTACCTTTGTATGTCGATTTTGATTCTTTTGTCCTAGACCTGCCTGGCCTCTTTTGCTCCTTTTCTATGTCCCCACACTGCCCCTCCAAAAGGTGCCTTAGACTTGTGCAAACTTACAGGCCTCAGTGGCCCACTTCAGGCCAACCTTGATTAGCTAGTCACTTGTCTATGAGTACATGAGTAATTTTGGGTATTTTATTGGAAACTATCATCCTGTCTTTTTTCCTCCTTCTATGCACGCTAATCCTATCATAGTTCTTTTATACTAAGTGTATGCTCTGTGTGGCAGAAGGCAGAAAGCAATCAAAGCGTTGGGGATCCTTGGGTACCCTCAGCCTTCCTGCTAACATTAAGGAAACAGTAGGTGCCAGGAGGCAGGGAAATATTTATTCAGAGTTTCAAAAGAACCATGGCCCTCCCCTGAGACATGGTATTTTGAATAACAGCTTTTTAACTAGTATAATGTTCATCAAGGTTATTAATAAAATGGATAACACCTAATGAGCATATTTCCTGGGGATGATAAAAGCAAGAAAGATTCCTCATGATAAATGCATTGATGGCACATAGCACGAACACTATCCAGACTTGGAAGGCATGTCTGACTCTGGGTCATGCCTTCAGTACCCAAACAAGCCTACATTCTCTTCCTGATTGGAAGCCCAGGTAATCTGTCACCATAATAACAGAAACTCTGAATTCTGGAGTTGGGTCTTCACTTGAATACATCACTTGCTTTCTGCCTCTGAAGACTGGCTTTGGCATGCTCACCCTGTGAGCACCAGAGATCTGTAGCAGCAACTTACCACTCATGACCTTGCCTACCACACCAATGCTCATGTTAAGTGGAAGGCAAGCTTCCAGTGTAAGCACTGACCACCAATTAGTCTTGATGAGTGGAAGAGAGCAGCACTTCAATCACAGGGTACAACTTCTCAGAATAGACAAAACAGAACTTCCTTGAGGTGAAGGTATCATTATGTGTTCATTCAAAGATTTACAATGTCATATTTGGTCAAGGCTACTTCAGAAGTACATTTTTAAGAGTGCTCGAAAGGCTGTATTAAAATATAGGAAGGAAAATGAATTACCTCTAGGGGTTTACAGACATGGCAAAGCCCATGCATTTGATATCAAGAAAACTGGCTTCTAGTGTAGAGGGAATGTGTCCACATTTTCCCATTTCTCTATAGAGATCATGGCATTTTTGTAGATAGAAGCAATTTGTCTCACCTTTCTAGTATAGGGGGAAATAGCTCTTCACTGTGTCATTTAAAAAAATGTGTTAATATTAAGAATTATAGTCCTCTAACAGGTCTGGGAATATCTGACACTTGTCATCAGGAGGGAAATCTTTGCATAGCAACCTCATCCAACTTCAGTTCCCACTAGGTTTGGACAGGTGCGACACATGAGATGAAAACTGACTGACATGGTCATAAATGAAGCCAACATGAGGCCTGAACCTTCCAGATGAAGCAATACCTAGACCTTGGGTGGAGACTATAGAGGGTGGAAATAGTGTTTAGGAATAAAATGTTTTGGTTAGGGATTGAGGAATTATCAAGATATAGGAAGCAGGACAAGAAGGCCTCATGAAAACAAAGACATCCAAATATTTGTAGTAAGGGGACTGGTCAGCAGATAAAGAGAATAAGAGACAGAGAGAGAAAAAAAAGCAGGATATTCAGTGCCAGAACAGGGGGAGATGCACGTAGGGATGTGTTAGTGAGGGCAGTCAGAGCCCAGTCAAATGGGCTCAGGGGGTAATAAAAGCAGGAAGTGGCATCATGATAAAAGGGTTCATAGTTAGTCCTTCTTTTCATGAAGAGGGTTTGGGCTGGGCAATCTCACTATAGGTATTCTCACCTCATTTTTTTTTTTTTAAAGATTTATTTATTTGTGCATACAGAACTGGGGTACAGGCCAGAGGCTCAGGGGTGGCGAGAGGCTTCACCAGAGACAGAGTGGGGAACAGAACAGGCAGATCAATGAGGTACACAGCTGAGGGGAGCAGCGGGCGGGTCAGGAGAGGTCTGCCGCGCCATGTGGTCACCTCCGGGGCAGACTGGAATGGAACTCATGCGGAAGCGGCTTCAGATTCTCAGTGCTGTGCTTTAACCCCCTGCGCCACCAGAGAGGGCCCGGTTCTCACCTCATTTTTAAAGAGACCAAACCCAAGATGGAATATGGGAGCAAGGACCTTGAAGTAACCGTTTCCTGGGTCATTCCCTATCAGGTCTATTCCAGGTAGATTTTGGAATCATACTTGGGTGTTAAAATGGATCTGTTCTGGGATAAGGAGTTCATGGAGCAAAGGTCAATTTTTTTGAGTTTTTTGTGGCATCAGAGATCTGGCAGAATACTATTTAACCAGGATTCTGAGAGAAACACACTTACCACAAGGGGACATTTTAGACATTTACATGAGAACTGCATGTTTAAGGGATGGCGATTTATTCATCTCTATCTATAGTCCTCGTACACACAGACTATGGCTAATTGCTTCATGCTCAATTATTTTTGCTGAATCAAAAAACAAAAATTCTACCACCTCTGTCCCAAAGGAAGCGCTATAATGACTAATGCCCTAAAGTGGCACCCCGTCCTTATAGAGTCGTGGTTCCTGGGGATCATTCAAGTGACTAAGACAGCTGTGATCCTGGAAACTAAGGGAGTTTCACTCTTTGCCTGCTCTCAGGGGTTTCCAATCTAGCTTTTCTTTTATTATTAATATTTTAAAAGATTTATTTATTTATGCTTACAGAACTGGGGTACAGGTCAGAGACAGAGTGGGGAGTAGAACAGGCTGAGGGGAACAGCGGGTGGGTCAGGAGAGGTCTGCCATGCCATGTGGGTCAGCTCCCTGGTCGGGGATTGAACTAGTGCTGCAGTGGCTTCAGAAGGCTTCATAGTATGGTGTTTTAACCCGTAGCGCCACCAGGGAGAGCACTCTAGCTATTGGTTTTAACATCATCTTCTGAAACAATAGGAGAAGACCCCAGAAGAGAAGTCCCAAAACAGTTAGACTTGCCACTCAGGCACTGGGCCTTCAAAACATGTAGTTTATGCCGGAGCTGGGAGGCCTTAGTCAGACCTGAGGTACCAGCCTTCTTTAACACAACTGTCTCTTTTGGTCCTTCTTCCAGTCATAGTCCACGGCTATTGTCTGGTTAGCATTTCTTACTTCTCTAGCCACTCATTCAAGTTTGGGTTATAAGGAACAGGAAATGGCAAAAGGAAAAAGGGTCATTTGATAAATGAAGTGCAAGTCTGTAAGTTTGAGAGACAGACTGCGTAAGATCCTGTACACACAAAGAAAAGCAAAGAGGGAGAAAAAGGATAAGCTAACTTCTTCATTTGTCATTTTTGTAACTTCCTGGATATTAAATTTTGGTTAATGCTTAAGAGCAGGGCCATCACTAAGCTACACAATGTGATGAAGCCAAAGCCAGGTCCCTTTTAACATCATGTACACTATCCTAATAGTTTCCATTTTTAAAACTCCAGAATGATAGTGATGAAGTGACATTTTAAAAGTGTTTATTCTTCATAGCCATTAAAACATTCAGAACAATTTCCACCTAGCCCTTGGCTGCTGATCTACCAGGAGATTTATCCTCTTTTTTTCTGGCTTGGTATCAATTCTCTATCAACTCTAACAAACTGTCCCCAAATCACAGATGTCTTGTGTCAAACACCTGTTAATACTAGCAGGCAGCAAAGAGTACATGTCAAAGAGAGCTAAATGAGATTACAAAATATCTAGACTGTTTCTACCAAAAAAATGTTGGCTATAATTTTTTTGTGTGTGAACATTCTAGATAAAGATCTTTGGAAGTAGAAAAAACCTTGAAGCTTGTATAACCACAGGTCAATTAGTAGGAAATGTACAAATATAATCAGAACTGCTAGTCAGAAATGCTTTGACCACAATCTACCTGTTTCTACTTAGTCCATTTCCTGGACTTTATTTTGGAAGAAAAATAAGGAAAGTATTAAAAAAAGATACAAGTTACATTTCTGTTCTTCACACTGCCAGCTGTACTCCCTAAGACTGGACTTATCACTACAATACTTATTTAAAATGAAAACACCAGGCCCTCCCGGGTGGCGCAGCGGGTTAAAGCACTGCACTAAGAAGCTTAAGCCAATTCTGCATGAGTTCGATCCCCGCCTGCCCTGGAGGAGATCCACATGTCGCGGCAGACCTCTCCTGACCGGCCCGCTGCTCCCCTCAGCAGTGTACTTTGTCGATCTGCCTGTTCTGCTCCCCACTCTGTTCCTGGTGAGTCCTCTCACCCTCCGCATCTCTTGCCTGTACCCCAGTTCTGTATGAATAAATAAATAAATGTTTAAGAAAAAAAATGAAAACACCAATATTTTGGCAATAACTGTAGGATGTGTGTTATATTCAATAATTGTCCTGCTATTGCTATTGCTCAACCGAGTGAAAGGGGTTTAAGTAAAAAAAGTAAGTTTAAAGCCACCAGTCAGGTGATAGCAGAGATTTTGCAATCTTCCAAAGTAGACAAATGAACTTGTTATTAAGTTATTGTAAAAAAGTAGAGAATCCCACATATAGATATATAATATACTCTTTAAGTCCCCAATAAAAGGATAAATAATATGACTATTGCTCATGGTCTTCTCCATGAGTTCCATATTATTGTTTTCTCTTTATGTGTATACTTCTATCATGTAGCTACAGAGCTCACACTTGTAATAGATGGAATGAAGAAAAAAATGATGGCCTCTAAGACAAATTTGCTAAATTGTGAAAAGAATATATGGAGAGAGGACAGAGAAGATCACAGAAGCTTTAGAGCAGAATGAAGTGGCTGAAGGGTCAAAAATGCCCACGAATGACCAGCAGGCTATTGCTCAAATGCTGCCAAGTTATATGCAATTGGTGACCTGGTCACCTCATCCCTGCAAGAGCCATTTAAAGACAGGATCCTACCAATACTTTTGGGTTTTGTTTGTTGTTGTTCATCAGTTGACTTCTTTGCTAAAGTGCTATTCAGACATGAGGCCAAAATGACCTGAGTCTGGGGTTGCTGTCTGGGGGAGTTGTGTGTGATTCAGGTTGTGGGTTTAGGCTCATGACTCCAAACACACTCATGTTCTGGGGTCCAGGTCAGCAGCAGACTTTCCATGAAATGCTTAAACAAGCCCCAGCCAAAAGAGAGAGAGAGAGAGAATTTGGTAAAGAGTAAAGTAATTCAGAAAGAAAAAGAAAAATACTGGATGGTTTCGCTCATAGCAGGAGTGCAAGGGATCAGGTGGGGAGAGAGAAGCAAATGTAATAAAGTAAAAATGAGAAGAACAAACAACTATAAACCAGAGGCACCGTATGGGGTGGAAAGGGAATGGGCTAAAAACAGGGGTGGGAAGAGGGCATACAGGTGAACTGGTGGAGGGAAGCTCATCAGGACTACAACTGAGATGGAAAAATGTACACAATGAAGAATGATATAAAAAATGAATAAGGGGAGAAAAGGAATTCCTACCACTACCACCACAAGAGCTTCCAACTGTAACTTTACTCATAGACCATTAGCAAATATCAGAGGAGGAGTGGAGAGGCAGAAAAGGGGGCAGTGCTAGGAACCTTCAGGGGGTCAAATATATCAGCCAAAGTACTGAGGAATACATGAGGAGCAGGTATGAGTCCTGTTCTCTTTGTTTTATATTTCACCCAAGATTTACAGCTATTTTTTTCTTCATCACTATTTTGTTGAGCAGGGTGAGGGAGAATGGCACAGCTCTAGAGCTTGTGGTCAATGAACACACAACTGGCTGACCAAGTTGCAAGAAGACAAATGAGAGATCCACACACCCTGGGCATCAAAGGAGCAGCAGAGTCCAGCATGAGAGACACTGTCAGAGGCAGCCTACCCCGGACATAGTCCGCACACTTCACACACTTCCACTGTACAGCACAATGTAAACTTGTTGAGATTTATCTAATAGTTGCTTAGGCCAAGAGGGCTAGATATTAAAAAAAAAAAAAATAGATCCCCAAATGCATTTACACAAAGATTCAAAAAACACTACTCCAGTTTCAGATGTTCCTTAATTTATCAAAGTAGAGTTAATGTTACAGATCCTGAGGAGTACAATGATTGTTAAGCTCTGAATACAGCATCTGATGAAGTAAAGCAAATTAAACTTCCAGAAATAACTTTAGTTAAAGCAATTAAGAAACAAGAGCATTGCAGGGCTCCGTCTTTGGTCTAGCAACACGACGGTTGTTGACGCAGGGTCTGAAACAACGGGCTTACCTCCTGACTGGAATTTTACCATTTGTGTTGGTCATAAATGCCAGTTTCATCCAGCTGGAAAATAACAGTAACAACATTGTTTGAATGTTTCTCAGCAGAAAGACGTCAATCTGGTTAAGAACTTTAAACGAAAGTCCATTCAAACAAATAACATTTATTCTGTAAGCCAGAGACAATACATGGTAAGATCAATTTATGGTTGTCAGATGTAGCAAATAACATGGGACTCTAAGTTTCAGATAGACAAGCAATTTTTTACTATAAGCATGCTCTGAGTATTGCCTAGGACATCCTTCTACTACAAATTGTTACTCATCTGAGATTCAAATTTAACTGGAAATTCCATATTTAACCTGGCAATCCTACATGACTCTGCAAAATAAAATAAAATAAATTTCCAGTATTTATTCAGTAACTGGTCTTATCCTTGAGTGTTGCATTTTAATAATCTAACAAAGTGGTGAGATGGTGACTCCATGATGGTGACATCAGTCAACCTTGAGGTTGGAGATCTTGAGGAGCTTTGGGGATCCTCTCCCTTTCTTAGCTTCCACTCCAGCAAAGTACAGATCAAATGGGACCTTCCTTAATTTCCAATGGTTAGGGAAGTTCATCAACTCAAATGGATGGGGAACAACTCCTTGCTTTCCCAAGGCTTTCAGCATCATACATGAGAGTCCAGAACATTGCTTGTACTTTGGTTCTAGGACTCTCTTTAGCTAATGACTCCTATGCTCGCTGTTACAATCAGAAACAGTCTAACAATTTGCAGATCATGATGAGTTGTTACTCTTAGAACTCTGATTGTGTGCTCAATAGTATCTGGGATCAGTGCTCACTTTTCACCCCAACAATAGATACTGTGCAAGTGTTTCTCTTGGTCAAACACTCAAGAGTAGTGCCAGGCATGCAGAACTAGTTATGATCACCCTCAATTTTCATACACAAAACCAAATGCTCATAACACTGAGGATACTGCAGGGCTGAGGTCACAGTGTCTTTCTGCCATCAACCATTCCTTTCACATAGGTGTTGGTTGGTGGGTTACTAGGATATCCTGCCAGAAGGCATAAAGAATCCAGGTATGCACTGGACCTGCTTCTCTAAGGTCAGATGCATGAAGCAGAAAGCAAGAGGCATAGCCTGGTCATATACTTAGCCTTTATCTCCTCATCTGACCATCTGCTTGATGGTCAACAGCCAAGAACAAAGAATAGTACAAACAACACTCACTGTTTCTTGAGACATGTCATTGGGCTGACATTGTTGGCCCTGAAGTTGTGAATGATTGATCTCAGGCCTTCTACCCATTGCTGAAAGAGAAGGAAAAAAAAAAAGTGTTCTTGGTGAGAAAAATCTACTGAAGCCAAATATGGCGGTTTTTATTAGATAACAGCTTATATCTATTTTATGTAGTGACAATATAAACTCTTCTTTAATCCCTTTCCTGCCACACATTCATCTTCATCTCACATGTTCATATTTTACTCTTCAGCAAACAGCTTTCATGCTTTCCATGAGAGAATAGTGACATACAGTGTCCTTAAACGCTGGTTGTCAAAAAGGAATGCTGCCCACTGATAGATCTGTTAAACATTCTATTTGCAGCCTGTTTAAATATAAGCACTTTTTCAATCACTGGCAATCTTAATTATTTCTAAGCAACATTATACAATATATGACACATCTAACTCTCCCCATTTAGAAGATGAATGTATTAAGGGTTCGGCAATTTTATTGTGTGAATCTATTTCCATCAAGAATTTGTTATGCATCTTACCTGTCTTTTCCAGCAAAGCCTTAAAAAGTAAAACATGCATTGATTGCCAGGGCAGCCAGAGCAAACATGGATGTGCTCACATCATTTCTGTATAAGGAGTTGACTGCAGTTTAACTCATAACATCACTCCACAGATTTACAAGGACAAGTGAAGCAAGACTGTACATGACAGTAACGGAATGTGGGCCTTCAAGGGGCATTTTAGTAGAAAAGGCCGGTCCTTCTTCAAGAAGAGGCTAGTCAGGCTGATTTCTCTGTAGGTGCTATTTTAATTTTAACTGTCATGTAATATATATAACATAAAATGTATCATTTCAACCATTTTCAGGTAAATCTTTGAGTGTCATTTAGAATGTACACATTTCTGTCACCACCGCTCATCTCCAGAAATATTTTTGTCTTGCAAAACTGAAACTCCTGGTCCAATCTAATTAAACAACCCTCCATTTTCCTCTTCCCTCCTCCAGCCTCTGGAAACCACCATCTGCTTTCTGTCTCTATGGATTTGACAGCTCTAGGTAGGACATATGAACAGATGAACATAGTTATTTATCCTCTTGTGACTGGTTTACTGCACTTGCATAATCTCCTCAGGGTTAATCCACATTGTAGAATGAGTCAGCGTTTCACTTTTTTTTTTTTTTAAATAAAGTACCATTTTAATACACTGTTGGTAATTTTTCGACAGTGTAGGATTTCTCCCCTAAGGTCATCGAAGCTCTCCCACCCCAAAGCACCCATAATCCTATTTCACCTACCCCTCTCTCCATCCTTCCACTCCCCTCCCCTCCTGGATACCTCAGATCTACGGTCAGTTTTCAAAGGTTGATTTTAAAGTTTGTCTTTGTCTGACTTTAGATATGACCCAGCAGTTTCACTCCTGGGTATCTATCTACATGAAGAACAAAAACCACTAATTTGAAAGGAAATCCATACTATGTTTATTGCAGCACTATTTATAATAGCTGAGGTATGGAAACAACCTCAATATCCCAAAACAAATGAGTGGATCAGGAACATATGGTATAGACACACAATGGAATATTACTCTGTGATAAAAAAATAAACTCACACCATTTGATAAGTCAGAATTTCCTTTCCTTTTAAGGCTAAATAGTACCCATTCTACGTAGACACCACATGTGGTTTATCCATTCACTTGTCAATGGACACATGTGGGGCTTCTCCCCTCTTGGCAAATGTGAATAATCCTGCTAGGAATAGTAGCATACAATATCTCTTGAAGACACAGCTTTCAATTTTTTTGGATATATTTCCAGGAGTGGACTTGCTGGATTACATGGTAGTTTTATTTGGAATATTTTGAGGGCCCACTGTCTTGTTTCCTGTGGAGGCCATTCTATTTTATATTCCCACAACAGTACCTAGAGTTCCAATTTTTCCAGATCCTCACAGCATCTGTTATTTTCTGTTTTTGTTTATTTGACAGTAGCACTCCTAATGGCTGTGAGCTGAACAGAGAGTTCTTGCTTCCTTTTTGTGTTCCAGTCATACCAAACAGCTTTCTGAGGGAAAACTTAGACACCATCAGACATAAATTTCCCTTCACAACCAGAAAAGGCCATTTCCTAAGGACCACAAATAGCATCACAAGCCTCTGCAAGCATGATGGTGAAGTCAGGATTCTGAGGGAGGAGGCAGAAATAAAATAGTAGCATGAAAGAAATGGCTCTATTATTTTCATCATCAGACTTCACTTCCTCTTTGAGGCTAAATATGGGATGTAACTCTCTGGGGTCCATCAAGTATCCTGTTATTGGCTTAACAAGCCACAGGCCCACACAAAGTTTCCCAAGAGGAGACAGAAAAAGCACAAATAATTTGGTTGGCATTCACTGGGATGCATTTTCTCAATTGGAAAGTTTGCGATATGTTCCGAAACAAAATAAAACTCAAGGTTTCCTAGGGCAGAAACGTGGACAACATCTGAAACTGTTCGCTAGCTTTTCCAATTACATTCCAATTAGCATGTTTTGAGAAATAAACAAGAGACATCAAAACTTGAACAGGCAGGCTTCAACAACTTCTGACCACCTTTTGAAAATACAGCGCTGATGAAGAACCTTGCTTATTGTGATGAAAGGTTTCCAAGCGTGACCTCTCAGGGCATCCGACTATTGAGAGTATGCTTGCTTTAGTCGGTAGGAAATGCCACAGGAATCCTCACAGCCCTGAAGGGTGCTGGGAGGGAGGCTCTTGCTTCCTTCTCTTTGTGATAATGAAAGCCAGGTCAAGGGCCTTGCCCAAGGTCACAGAACTGCTGCACAGGGCAGAGAGGCAATAAGAACTCTGTTGTCTGCCCTTCACATCAGGGATTTTTCACTCAAAGGCTTATTCACATGTCTCCCTCCAAAACATGGAAAAGTCCCATCAAATCTTTTCATAATCTTTCAGGTAAAGTACACCCAGTAGAATCAGGCTAACAGCTCTTAGGGAATATGGTAGGGATTTTTTGTTTGTTTGTTAAAACAGAAAATAGATGAAATGCCAGCAGGTGTCAGTAGAACCCTAGAATTTAGTTCAAAAGTTGTGTGAAGAGTGAACCAGATGTGGATAGACTTTACTGAATGTTTTCAGATAACTGAATTAAAAAGTATCCTTGGATTGCTGTAAACAAACATGTATGTTAAAAGTCTACACAATGCCTCAGATGGTGCATTTTTAAACCTTTGGCTGGTGGTTCTTGACAGTTTTCATCATACACACATTGAACACGTTGCATTGAGGGTGACATGCATGCTTCCTATGCCACTGGGTGCCTTCCCTCTGGCCTGGCCCAGCTGAGTGGATACAGACAGCCTGCGTGCAGGGGAATCAGCCAGGGAGCAATTTGGTTCAAATAGCCAAATCTGTAATTATCTTTAGTCCCTCATATTTTTAATCTCAATATTTACTTCAGCCTTTCTAAGGAGAAGTTATAAAAAGTTCCTTCAAGGGCACTTGGAGGGTTTGTTTTGGACAGTTTGGGCAAAAGAGAGGTACAGGAGCTGCCTCTGATTCTCCCCTGGGAACTTCCGACCTCTCCTCTGGGACTCCTTAAAATTATTTTCATCATACAAGCCGGGTCCATTTCCCAAGCAAATGGTTGGGTCTTGCCCTGGCCTATCTTTTTTTGCCTCTATGACATGAGAGTTCTATAAAACAAGCAAACAAACAAAAAATAATCCCTTGCTATTAAAAATAAAATGCGTGTAGACAGAGATACAATACAACTAAACTGAAAAATATAAAAACTCATACAGGACATATACATCACTTTTTTCTTAAAAATGTTAGTTATTTTTAAGATTATGAAAGCAGCATTTCAATACCTTTTATAGAAAAGTGTATAGCAAGAAATAATAAAATAAAAAGTAAACCTCACCTCAAATCCACACCATTACGACTACTGACAGTGACCGATATTTGGCTATTTGTCTTTCACACACAGACACATTCGGATTTGCCATCCTAAAATAACTGGTCCAGCACCACTCAGTCAGCAGAACTGTTGTTCCTTCAACTCAATCTTACTTGTAGATTTTGTTCCAGAAGCCTTCTTTTTAGTCTTCAGTCAAAGAAGCACATTATCAAAGCAAAAAACACAGGAACTTTGTGATAATTTCTAGGTTTGCTATCTAATTTTCTTTCGAGGGAAGATGCATTAGCATTTTCCTTCATTTGCCAGAGTTTGGCTCCTTATTTTCCAAGATGTGGCCACTGGTTGCATGGGGGTAATCTCTTAAAAGTTAGCGAGAGACTAGCTACTGAAGGTCTACCCTCCAGGAACCATCAGCACCAGAATTACCTTTGAATTATTAAAATGCAAACTGTCGGTTTCACTGAGAAAGCCTGCCTCTAGGGCTGGTGGAGAACTGAACTCAAGGAGCTTCCAAATGTTGGCAGGAGGTCTGCTGAAGTCTGTTAGAAGAAACAGCTCTCCTGGTTCTGGGAGAAGTTAAGTGCAAAATCAGGACTTCCCTGGCCCTGGGCTTCCTGGGAGAATGTTTGTTTATTAGGTCATTTGGCAAAGAAACAAAATGGAGGTTCATTTTCTAAAAGTGGAAACTGATCTGTATGATCAGAACACAACTCTCATCAGCAAATGTCCAGTGATGGGGCCTGTTGGCCACGCACAGCTGAAGTCCACACAGCCGTGGAGCCATGGGAGGCTGGGTGCATGCATTACTAATGTCTTGGTCCCACTGACATTTTATCCAGGTTTGAGGACAGGTCTGGCCCAAGAATTATAAAACCCCAGTGACAGAGACTGAAGAGCACCGAGCCTGCTGGTTTAGGCAGGATGCGATAAAAAGCATTAACATTTTAACTTTAACTGTGCTCGTCTAGGATGCTAAATCTATTCTAAAACCAAATGGGAGCAGATCTACCAGTCTGTATATCACAGAGCAATGTCTAAAGCAGGCTAAGAACAAAACTCAAGTTTTCTTTTTTATGCCAACTACTTTCTGTTGGCTATCCTAAGGAGAGAGATTCAGGCAGAATGTGTTAAATGACAGTCTCTCAGGAAAG